ATTTTCGAAAATTTCAATAATCTAATATGAATGTCTTTTTGCGTAAGTTTAAGAATTTTTCTAAAAATTGATACAAAATAATATAAAATGTCCGAAGACCTTTATTATTAAATGCATTATTTTGTTTTAAAGCTAGATTTAATTTCAATTCAACTCAAACGGAAATTTTTGTTCAGCAGATTTTATTTCTATTCAACTCTTTTACCTTTTCTTTTCATTTTATTCTACATAGATGCTAAACTTAGAGTTGTACATAAACTACTTAATTCATAATTCGTCTCCGTCTTAAAGTCGTCCTAAAGAGTAAATTCGTCTTAAAGAATTAAAAAAATGTAACGTCATATTATAGCAATTTTATTTAGAATTAATTATGGTGCAAGAATATTTAAACCAAAACACAATTAATATTATATGTACTATCAATTTGAAGTTAAGCTAATATTTCCCAAGAAAAAAACTATTATGAGAAAAAAAATTAAAATTCTTAAAATTGATCGTATTAAAAATTTTATTTTTTCTATAAATTCTTTAAATTAGTTCATATTACACTCGCATATGAACTTAATAAATAACACTTATATAACATTAACAATGGCAAATTTTAAGTCAAACTCATAAAGTCATACGTACTTATTACAAATCTTGAATCTATCAATTATCAAAAATTAAATTTATAAATTAAAAATTTAAAAATTATCAAAAAATTTCCAAAATAAAAGCAATAAAAATCACAAAACAAAAAATTTGATAATTGTTTTTAAGAATTGAGTAACAAAATGTTATGCTCACCTTAAAAGCACATACATAAGTGGCTTAGCAATGATTAATATAAATGCAAAATAACTTTAAAATATCTAAAAAAAAAATACACAAAATACATAAGAATTTTTTTTTTGAGTTCTTTACACTTATACCTCAATTTACGTGGCAATATTAAAGCACTCGTATTAAAAAATATTATTAAAAACCGCTTAACACAAATTTTTAAATAATTAAATTATTTAATACGACAATTATTGGGTAATTAGTAACTTGACTAATTAAATATGAAGATGAAGAAGATTGAAAAACAAAATACTTATTTACTTAAAAATTTATTTTTGAATAATTATAAATTTCCTTTTTTAAATCAGTTATTTTACTATTACTTTTATTTTAACCAAATTGTGTATACTTACTGTCTTATTGATTACTATGGTTATTTAATCTGAATTTTTAAAAATCCTTGTTTTTTAGAATTAAAATTATAATAACATATTATTTTCAAAATTTTGATTTCTTACTTGCAATTAATTTACATTAAGTGTATTAAAGAAATATTTCAAGTTCAATATTTCAATAATTTTACTTAGATATTGTTGAGTTAAATTGATTTAAGCGTCAATAATTCTTAGATTTCTTTGTGTTATTTTTATTCAATTTATTATATTTCTAGTAAATAATAAACAATTTAATAATTAAATGGAAATTGGGTAGCGGGTGTAGTTATTTATTTTTAACTTTTTTTTTATCAATCTCTACTAAACCAACACATTGGTTCTTATACACATTATAAATTCTATTTTGTGACCAAATGACTCATAACGATAAAATTACTATAGTCTACTAGTTTGTATTTATTTTTTCTTTTTTTTTTTTATATTTTTTTTTTAAGATACCATAATAGAAAGAAAAAACGCGAAAAATATATTGCACATATACAAATATTTCAAACAAAAAAAAAAAAAAACTTAAAATAAAAAACAACACTAACTTGGTTATCAACAAAACTAAAGCATAAATTCTTATGTAAGTAAATTTTTAATTAACAAAGCTTATCGATTATGTCATTTTTTGAGCAAAAACTAAAAATAAAAAAAAAAAAACAAAGCGGGTAGCTTCCTCTGTTGTTCTCTTTTTTCTGTTTTACAAACTTATCAATGAATGAATTTCATAGCAAAACATTTTGCAAATGTTAAACATTTAAACACTATACGAGTAAATCTCTAATATCTAAAGGATTAAGTAAGTAGAAATCATCATGATTATTAATGGGTTATTTCAAAAATTTACCAAAATCAAATAAAATAATCTTCATTTAAAAAAAACAATAAATTTTTCCAACTGTTATACTTATTAAGTAGTAGTTATAAACTAAATAATAAGTAATTAAAAATTAATTTTAAACAAAAATTTTAAAAATTACTGACTTACTGAGGAAGTCTTCAATATTCTTATTCTAAATCTTAATTATGAAAATTTTATTTATTACTTATTAATGTAAATGTTCTTTTACTTAATTGCTTTTATATACATATATTAATGTAAGTATTCGCTTTGATCCCACAGAACGAGCCTTGTATATTTGCAGAATAAAAGAAAAATTTAAGTGTAAAATTAACTTAAACACATAAGTACTTACTTTAACATTAAAATACACACCCCTGAATTTGATTAATAATTTAATGACAAAATTCATTGCATATTATAATAAAACTGCCTCGACTATTTTTATTAAAAACTCGTTTCTTTTTTAATTATTTACTAACAATTTTGATATTGAATTAACTATAAGTTAAAAATAATACTTATGAGCTTATGATACAAGAAAAAAAATAAATGAATGAATAAGTAAATTTAATATTTTTATATCTAATTTTTTTTTTTTTTTGACTAATGATGATGTGGTTCATAAAAAATTTCTGTTTTATTATTGCAGATTGAGATTTATAGAGAAAATAATAATTATGTAGACATTCATAAGTATACATTAATATAATATGTATGTACATTTGTAAAAATATGCTTAAGCATTGTATTTACCAAATTTATATAAGATTAATTGGTTTATCTATAAATACTATTTATAAATTAATATCAAGGACGTTGTTGTTACCTCGTATTTTATTTATTAATATTTATATCTATTTCTTTCAAAAATATTTTTTATTTAATATTATAAATCAAAATTTTATCTTAAATAACTAGGTATTAAGAAACAATTTTGATTTCAAGTACTCGTAAGTATTTAAATAGAAAACTACCTTAAAAAAATTAAATCCAAGGAGGCTGTATTTAAAAACATATTAGTATTTATGTACTTAGGAGCCTATCTCCAGAATTTGGATGGTTTATTTTGAAAGTGAACGAAGTCGATTTGCATTTTTAAATCATAGTCAATATCAATAGTTTGAATTGAAATTTATGTTGCCTTCTAGGAAAATAAATATTCTACGGACCAAATAACTAGTTAACCCATTTTTTGGTTACTTTTAGTCCAAATGGAGCAATTTTTTAATTTTAATTGAGTGCTTTCAAAATAAGCCATATTTAGTACCAAATTATTTTATACTGGTTGGGAAAACTGGTAAATAATTTTTTTTAACTTAATAAAAAAAGAAAATTTAAATGAATTAAAATAAAATTTATATTTTATTTGTGAATTCATTTCGTTAGTTAACTAGGCATTTGAAAAATCTATTAATAGTATGAAAATTTCATAAGCATTGAATTATTCTTATTACTCTTAATGTATATTTTTATTACAGTAATAAGATGCAGCTAAAGTAATTAAAATTCTTTTAACTAAGATATCAAAATATAATTTTGTGGCCTTAATTATGTTAAAGTCATTTAGCATCTCTAAAATTAATCCAGACAGATAAGTAATAATCAAGAAAAAGTCTAAGTTAAAACAATAAATATACAGAAATATCTACATTTCATTTCATTTACATAGAATTTGAAACAATTTCAAATTAATTATAAAGTTTGTTTAGTTACATACATCCATCCAAAATGGTATTTAAATAACTAACTACTAGATATTTCAAATTATAACCAGATAAGTAATTTAAATATAGGTTTATTATTAAGTAGATACTTGTGTATTGTTTATTATACAGAGAAGGTCAAATTGCTAAATTTATTTGCTAAGGTTAACAATTTTACACAATATAAATTAGTTACGTACCTACCTATCTACCTACCTTCACATATAAAATGTACCTATTTTATTTTTTATCCTAGAAAAATAATTTGAATATTTAGAATAACATGTCCAATCGAAATTTTATTCTATAGTATATAAACAATCTATTATAATATAATATCTATTTGAATATGTGTATAGACTTCACTTAAATAGATACCTAGATAGGTATTAAGTACCTACCTCAAAAATTTGAACTACTTCAAAACTTTAAATAAGTAAACTTTAAATACTTAAGTAAAAACTTTAAATAAGTAAATGATTTTTACATACTTAAATAATATTTGATATTTACTTATGTGCCTAACATTTTACATTCCTTTGTCATAATTGTAGATAGTTTAGCTGCACCTCTTTGTGTTCTAATTGTGTTCATCCCTAATTTTCAATTATAGACAAGAATAATAGTTATTTAGCTAAATATTATTAGATTTTTTAGAAAAAAAAAATTAATGTGGGTCCTACATAGACAAATTTAATTAAGTTATTATAATTAATATTCTTACATAAGTATACATACATACCTACTTATATACTAAAATGTCAATAAATTTAATTATTTCTGCACACCTATAAATATATTATTTCTAAAATATGAATAAAGATGCGCGTATATCATCATAATTAAATTTTATAACAGAATTTTTACAAATTCATGATTTTTAGTTTAGGCACAATACTTATGTAGATTTTCATATTATGTACCAAGATCTTTATTTAATGAATACAATAATTCACAGAGACGAGTTGTTTTTCAATTGGATTGGCAATGGGATAGCCATTATAAGTTGTAGACAAAAAAAAAATAAAATACAAAGGTATACCTGGGTAGAAGCTAATTACATACATAGATATTTACCTAAAATCTTGTTTTAAAAACGTTTAAAATTTTCATTAAAATAATAAATCTAAACAAGTGAGGTAAAATACAAAACTCATACTTAATATATGCATATTGGTATTATGTATAAATATTGTATATAATATTATGTTCTTGTTTAAACAAAAATTAAATTAAATTTCTACTTACATACCTTCATCTTTTGTAATATTATCCAAAATTTTATTTCGTTTTATTTAAAAACTTAGGTTTTTTCTTCACAAAAATCTTGTCTGTATAATATAGTTGATGACTTTGGATGAAAATTACTTCAATAATAGTTTGTAATTTTTTGTGCACATTTATTGAAACGAAAAAAAAAATACACAGAAAAAGTATAACTACTTAAAGATAAAGCACTTTTATTTCAACTATATTTTTTAATTATACTTTTCATTTTTTACTAATATGTATTAATTCTTTTTTCACTTTATTAAAATTTTATTACTAACTTTCTTTTGAATCTTAAAAAGAAATTATATCTACTGTAAACTCTAAGATATTTTATTGTTTGTGTGTGGTCGTATATTTTTTAAGTTATATATATTATTTTTTCACTTGTTTAGGTAATTATTTTGCAATAAAACATTTAAAATGATATCATATTTTTGTAATTATTTTCTTAATAATTTAATAAATTGAATTTTTTATTAAAATATTTGACATTAGACTATTCAAATAAGAAAATTATGTTTTTGAAAGGCGTGAAAGGGTGCGGACGTATTATATATGCATGTATGTATATATGTGCATTTGTATATTCTTTTTAAAACCAAAATTCATTCACCACACAAAATTTTTCATTTTCTTTTTTTTTTCCTTATTTTTTTTTATGAACACTTCTGTTTCTTCTATATTCACACAAATCAAAATGTAACTGGAATATATGAAAGAGATAGATAAAAATACCAACAACGTCGTATCGTATTAAAAAAAAAGCGAATAATAAAAATCCTAAGGAGCTCCAGTAAAAATTTTATTACATTTGCGAGTTGCATAAAATTATTTATACATTTTTTCAATTATAAAGATTTATTATTTTGCTTCTTGATATTTTCCAAAATAATTCTTTTTATATTTTTAAATAATTGTAAAATTGAAAAATTTTGTGTAACAATATTCTTAAAATACCATATTTTTTTACACTAACTTGGCTACCTTACACTTCAACAACTTTTACTTGTTAGTTGTGTTTTTATGTAAAACTTGTTTCGTTGTCCCACTCCCGTACATTCTACTTCAATCTTTCAATCAAATTGGTTAGACAAATAAAACTTCACTGGCTAGTTCACTCATTTTTCTCATATTTTTTCACGTATCGTATTAATTTTGGATGTGGGGAAAAAGTTTGACAAATCGATAGTAAAACGTTCAGAAATTCTTATTTATCTTCAATTTGCTCATTGACGTTTTTGTATAATAACAGTAAATTTACTATAATTTGATCAACGTTGTACTAAAAGCCGAAAATTTCATCATAAAGATGATGATTTACGAATGAAATAATTTTGTTTGAATATAAAATGTTTTGCTTTTTTTTTTAAGGGATTATATAACTGACCTGATTCTTCAATAAAACTGTCTATTAGACTTGTTCTAAAAGCTCCAACTGTAATTTTTATACCAGTATTAAATACTGGTACAATAATACACAATCAAGTAGAATCTCTTCAGGTAATGTCCATCTGATGCATAGAAAGACATCAGATTTTCTCGTAAATTTTGATCCTATATATTAACGTATATGCAAACGGCACTATATATATATTTCATTTTGCTACATGACGTCAAACGCTAAATATTTAATTGTTTAAAATTATAGTGTGAACTGTGATGTTATTACTTTTATGATGCTTGATAAAAAATTTAACACTAATTTCACTCACCGTACTTTTCTGGTTTATATTCCTTTAATAAAGGCGATATCATATGCTATATTAAAGTGAATGCAAAGTGAAAAATATTTTTGTTCGAAATTATAGTTTTTGATAAAAAAAAATACATTTGCCAAAAATTGTCAGTTTTAAGTCAACTTTTTTGTGAATTTTAAAGAACAGAAAATTTTCTATTTTTTAAAAAATATTGTTATGTCTAAAATATTAAAACTTTACCTATCGTTACCAGATAAAAGACGCTCACGTTTTTGATCAGTTTTCAACTCTACAAATATTTTTTGACAGTTAGACATTCTAGTGACATGACACTTGTGCTTTTCTGCTTTTGCGTGCGGTTTTAGTAGTTCCATTCTTACATATTTTACTGAAACCCAATTAATAATTTCGAGTAATAAGTAAATATTTTCTATATGTAATTTTTAAATATATTTTTGTTAATTTTTTTTGCAGAACTAATTAATAACTTGGGAAAATGGCAACCAAAGTACAAGGTTTAGTTAATTGTTAGTTTAGTTATTAGCAAACGTTTTTGGTATTATGTAATAAATTTAATTTCCATTTTAGCTCTTTTGGTTCAATCTCGTCCAAAACTGGATGTTTTTGTAAAATATGCCTTGGTTGAACTAACTCCACCATCACCTACAGATATTCCAGCTATTCGGCAAGGAATAAGTAATATACTTAAAGGTGCACGTACTGGCGCATGGAAAAATACAAGTGTAAAACAAGCTTGGATTAATACACTCGTCACAATGGAGGTATTCTTTTGGTTTTACGTTGGTGAATGCATTGGAAAACGAAACCTTGTTGGTTATAATGTTTAAGATATTTAATAATTAAATCACTAGACAAGATGACTTGTATACCATGGGGGCAAAAATTTAGATCGAAATAAAATATGTTAAAAACAAAATGATTGGGATAATTAATCTTTTTTGTAATGTAAATTATGGTAGCATAAATTGATCGTATTGAAATTAACAAGTTTATTAAAAATTGGAACTCCATAAGTAAAAAATGTATGCCACAAGTCACAAAAAAAAGATTATTAAACAAATTAAGTCATATTCGTACTCGTCTAATATGGTTAAATAATTTAATTTCCATAGGTTGTATACATAAATATTTTTGTCACAATGGGTTTCCTATTATAGGAGACACGGGAAAAGCATAAGGGACTAGTTTATAATGCTTTAAATTAAAAACAAAATAATATGAGTTCAAAATTAAATAATGCTAGTTATTTTATCATACAAGCATGAAAATTTGTGCTTATCAGTTATAACTACATAGGTACATATGCAAATGTATTCCGATTTTAAAAGAATACTTTGTACTTCCATTAAGAGGGACACTTAGATTACGGAGACAAAGATAGATACAGATATGTACATGTACAGTTACTATGTTAATATGAGCTCAATACGTACATATACGATAGCCGATATAAAAACGAGTCCTATTTATAAGCACATAAAATAAAACTTACACGACCTTCGTTTTCTGTCTGGTATATGAAAACACTAAAATTAACACTTTGATGAACAATTTTCTGGTGTATCATACAGTTTGCAATGAACAAAAAATTTTAAAAAGGAACATTGTAAAATGTTTGAACCTTCTACGCTATATTAAAAATGTGATTGAAATTATGCACACCCCAAAACAAAAAGCCAAAAGTCATATAATTGAACATTTCTTAAAATTTATTCAGTAAAAAAAAGCATCAATTTCAATAAAATTTGAAATAAAAAAAAAATCCTTCTTGGAATTGAAAAAATACTTATTTTCAGAATTTACCAAATACTGAAAATGATCCAATTTACAAATAGTAGAGTTGTTTCTCCAACAAATTATTTGGAGTCTGATGAAGATTCTGACCAACTAGCGTTGCTAGTTTTTTTGCGTACAAACATACCGCAGGAACTCTTGTTGTTCCAGCCCAATTATAGTACAAATGACACATTTTATAAGTCAAAATTTGTAACTTGTCAGCGCTTAATTTTGAAGTATCATATAAAATATTGTATGACGTAGGCGACACGGTTCCCTGTCTCACCGATTGCGAAACTAAATAAAAATCATATCTCTCTGGCAAGGTAACAATATCGTCAATCACTGTCCCTGGAGGTGGATTACGTTTATTTAAAAAGAAGCGAGCGTTTATTTGTTTTGAAACAACCATAAACGTAAAACGCGGCGGAGGAAGTTCAGATTTTTTGTATTGAGTGTCTAAAAATTCAACAAGATTCTTTACTTCATGTTCTACAACTTGCTGAATCGAACCATTCCCAACACCATCTCGGTATAAAATAATTTTTTCTGGTAGACAATCGTGACTTCGACGATACTCGTGAATTGCTTTGCTAACTGCTAAATTAAGTTCATTTGATAAGTTATCTGAGCTGTGTGTTTGAGCTACAGTACTAAAATATCGTGCTTTTACTTTTTGATCCATTGTTGCTACTAAAGCAGCATAAGTTTTTGATTTATCTCTGCTAGACTTGCAAATATCATATCCAATAACCATTAACCCTTTCATTGGCAAGGAAATCATCCATGGAGCACCACCTAATTTGGCGTTCATTTGAATAACAATCTTTGATATTATTGACATTACATTGCGTTTGCTAGAACTTACAGTTCCTTGCATTACTACTTGCGTTGCGATTGCCCGTTCAACGCAACATTTTTTTTTTATAGTAGAATAACGTTCTACGTTTTTATTTGGAACAAGGCACATAATTAAAGAAGGATCTTCATTGGCAGCACGATCTATTGCTTGAATATAAGCGTGATTTCTATCATCAGGAATATTGATTCTGAAAAAATGTTAGTGGTTATTGTACAATTAAAAAATGCTTTAACATATAAAAACCTGATTAACTTACTCGTTAGGTCTTTCTACTCTCATATGCATATCACTAGCAATTCTCAAAAGCTTTTGAATAAAATCGCGACACTCATGTTTGAATCTATATGGAACTATAACTACCCATCTCTGTAGGGTAGCAACGGTATACATTGCCTTTCCACGAAAATTTGACCAATCACAACGTTCTGTGGCAGAAACCCTGAATAACAAATTTTAATATGAGCTAGTTTTCACATTATTTTATCTTACTTATCGTTATTTTCAAATACAATATTTTCAGGTTCTAAATGTCTTCCTTCTAACTGAATAAGGTGCCGGTCTAGTGACATATTCCATTCCTTAAGAACTTGTTGACTGACTTTTGTTTCTTGCAATCTTCTATTAAATTTTTTCAATATTTCAATTCGTCTATCCGGATTAGTTCTTGTGTAATCTGCCATACCACGCATCAACCTAATTCAGAAATTTTAACATAATATACGCATTCAATAAATAAACTTTTTCGATATATCATACTGCTGATTAGACCGCATATTTTCACTAAGACCAGTTACTCGACATAGTTCAGGTACTAAATAAATTCTGTTATCTTCATCGTTTCTGGTTCTCCTTTCTCTGTTACGTGAAGCCAGTAATGGTTGCTCTGGGTCGCGTATTCTAATTTGATATTTCTAGTTGAAGGTTATATATAAAACAATTTTACAAAAATATGACTTATTAAGCGAACCAAATAACATACCTGATAATAATAATCAACAAAAGAAGTGCTTTTCCCTTTCATATTGAACGTCATGGACGCCTTGAATGTTAAATCGACATCATCAATGCGATATGTTTTATTATTGTAATCAGTTAACACTGTTAAACCTTCAAAAGAAACCAAAATATGTGTTATTTTATTCTTTATTTTTCTAAGTTTTCTTACCTATAACTTGTTTTTTGAAATTCTCTGACCAGTCTCCGCCTCTTCGATCAGAGTCGTTTATACACTGTCTCATTATATCATAAATAGTTTCTGTACGCATTACTTTATGAGTAACTTCTGCGCATACCAAAATTTCATTTTCATGTTGACGTATTGATGTTATATACCCAGGCCAAAGTTGAATTCTGTATTGACTTAAGTTAATTTTATCCAAAGCATCATAAAAATTCTTTCCAACCAATTGTAGTTGCAGGCCCTCCATAGCCCGACGTAAAATTAGATTCAAAATTTGAAGAGATTGCCATTGATTCATGGATACAGCAGCTATAAATTTTATGATTATTTTATACTCATCTCCTTTACGACTTTTGGTATCAATCTCAACATAATCTTTATCAAGTTTTCGTGTAACATATAAGAGCGTTCCATCAAAAAGGTATCCGCCCAAAAGACTTTTTTGTTCACTTAAAATACCTCGTTTTAAACGTATCAGTTCGATTGCAGGGCTAAAGTCTACACGGTATTGATATATTGACCACTCTGGACGTTTTAGTAACTTAAAATAATTTGCTTCTAATTGCACTCTTCGACCTGTTGTTCCTTGTTTGGTATTAACTGTTTCTGGACGAGTACGAACTATTTCATACCTAAATCTCTGCTCAGCTAAAAATTATGCAATTTTCATAAAATAGAAAAAAGAAATTAATAAAGGCGAAACAACATATAAGATATCTTTAATTTTAATTACTTGTTTGCTGCGGCTTCCTACACTCTCTTTCAATCACTCTAGAACTAGAAGTAGAACTGTGCGACGATTCCCTATCTTCTTCTCTTTTTATTGAACCGCTAGCACCAGGTGATTGTCCAGGAGGAGTATACCTTTTCCGAATTTTTTCACGCTAAAATCAGAGTGTATATTAAAATAGGAACAAATAATATACATACATATTATGTATTTATATATTCTTATAAACTGATTCTACCCTTATTTTCTAATAACTAATTCTACAACAAATTTGTTACCTCAAAATACGTATGTATATGTATTTAAAATATAAAACAAACCTTATGTATTGAATCTTTTGATGTGACCACATAATATTATTACTATTAACTCTTTCTGTTACTTTAGATGTTAGTAAAAAATCTACTTTTATTAAACTCAAAATTGTAAAAATTAGCTTAACGGCTGCAACTATTTTCAGCTTCAAATTTTGATACACTAGCACTGTAGTAGTAATGAAATGTAAATTTTTCAAATTGCCTTTTATTTTAACTTAGAAAAATAAGTTTTTTCGTGTTGCTATTACAAGTGGCGTCAGTAACATTAAGAAGCAAACATCTAGCTCTTCTCCTAGTAATTTTGTTGTTATTTTGATATGGAACACTAGACTTTATTAATAAATATTTCCAAACGGTATTTACCATCATTAATAATTATAGAAGGGTGGCAATAAATGTATTTAGTTTCGAAGTTATAAAGTGAAAAGCCGAACTAAAATATTTTTAACATAATTTTAAGATAAGCATTTTTCATAATTTTTAATGTTTACATTTTTCAAACAATTAAAACATAAATTATATGTGTATGTTTGAGGTTAAAGAGATAAAACCTAAAAATTTTGATAATTACATTTTATATCGCAACAAAATTAATCTGCATTCTAAGCATTCTTATACCCACGTTTCAACATAATTCTAATTGTAATAATTGTAATGTGATATGAGCGTCGTATTGTTTTTTCATAACTTAATGTATTTACATACATACACTTTAATAAAATTAAGTTATTAAGAAAAAAGTTCTTATAAATTACTAAGATAAGCGAAAAATTTTTTTAAGATTCGCGTTTGTATGTACTACTGATTTAAATTAAAAACATACTTACTGGTTGTTCTTCGTGATATTCATCGTCTCGTTTTCTTCTTGATGAACCTGAAGTTGATGGTACCGGTGAGTTACTTCTCTTAGATTTCTCTTCATCACACATTTTTTAAAATTTTTATCTTTTGTATTAATGTTTACAAATTTTATTCAAGGTGAGGTAGTTCCTCACAACACCTTGAGTTTTAATTCCTTTTGCTTTTACAACTAAAATTCACTTTTAACTTTAATTTTAAAATAAATTTTAAAATTATATTACAACTTGTATCTAGTATTTTACTAGCATTACGAAAAATATTTATCTTAATTTGTACTTTGTTACAACACAAGCGCTTTTGCAATTTGCTGTATCAAATGAAAATCCCGCTATGAATTCATTTCATAGTAAATTAAAGTGCTACCGTTGAAATTCAACCACATGTGAAAATAAACCCCAGCACCATTAAATTTACGTCAAAATATACGCATATCAATATAGCTACGTTCACACTTCGGTTCTTGCATCAATGGCTAGCGGGCTGATAATAGGATTAATAAAAGTAATTTTAAATATAATTACTTAAAAAATAACTCTTTTAAATTTAAAGAAATAATAAACTTCGGGAACACTTTTAACATAAATCGATCAAAAAATAACTGAGTTATTTTTTAAATGGGTCTAGCTGATAGTATAAATATAGTGCAATACCAAAATTTAATAGCCGTAAGTAATTATAGATTTAAGTTTCACGAGATAAATAAGCAGGAATTGTATGTGCTTATTCGTAAAATGAATACCAAAAAAGACTTTCTGGGTTTCGATACTAAAATAATTCTCAATTCATATGATATATTTGGTGATGTCCTGGTATATATTGTCAACCAGTCTATGAGAAGCGGTACTTTCCCATTAACATGGAAAGAATCTGTCGTCAGGCCAATTCCAAAGAAGCAGCGTCCGAAAGAACCAACTGATTTGAGGCCAATCAATATGATGCCCTTATATGAAAAAATATTAGAAAAAGTGATTAGTACACAACTTGAAAAATACCTTGAAGAATACAATGAGCCTTATTCTAGTTGTCGAAGTAGAGCGACAATTGTCGTCACGACTTGAATTTGATACAGTGACACGTGTCGTGGAATAGCGGGAAAATGTGTTTCAGGTATATTCCAGTTGTCGTTGTAGAGCGACACATGTCGTAGTGAAACGACGTTTTTTGTCGAAATGTATTTAACAAGTGACAAGCGAGATGGATACACCAAAAATGTAAGTTTAAACAAAACAATTTAATAAAAATATAATAAAAATATAAAAAATAATAAATTTTGTAATTTAATACATAAATTAAACCATATAATATATAATTTAATTTTTATTTTTAGCTTAAAAGTAACAACAAGGAAGCAATTTGAAGAATTGGGAAATTTTCAATAAAGGAATCATGAGATGATCCCGGATTATTAGCATCCACATACCTGATGCGCATTTTATGATCGCAAACCTTTAAGTCACATTATATTAAAATATTAAAATTGTTGTTTTTTTTTCAATTTCATTACTCTCGGAGTCTGATGAATCCATAAACCATAATGCAAATGACGACATTTTTTATTTCCCTCGGATTAAAATTTTTTTATATACACCGAATTTTTTTTTTAGTTTGAACTTTACTCGCCAAAATTTCTTTTTAAAATGTATCAATTTCACTTGAAACGTTTCATTTTCGTTTATTTCTCGCAGTCACGTCACTCGACAACTAGAATACCACATTTCAAGTGATGTGACAGCGACAACGACAAATGTCACGTAAGTGACGCGACAACTAGAATAAGGCTCAATATCTTATGTGATGAACAGAGTAGTTTCAGAGGAAAACATTCCTGTGAAACGGCTTTAAATTTAGTCCTATATGATTGAAAAAGGGCTAAAGAGAATAATTTAGTGATTTGTGCAATATTTTTAGATTTTAGAAGAGCATTCGAAACTGTTGTTAGAGAAATCCTGCTGATGAAATTTGAAAAATATGGAATTCAAGGTAATGAGCTAAGTTGGTTTAAAAGTTGTTTCGAATGTAGAAAGCAAAAAACAATAATTGACGACAGATTATCTGAATCAAAATTTATTAACTATGGAGTTCCTCAAGGTGCAATATTAGGAGTATTAAGTTTTTTATTACATATTAATGACATAAAATTGTGTACAAAGTCCTGTAAAATTGTCCTGTTTGCAGATGATGCACTTATTTATGTTGTTGACCGAAGTTTGGATGTATGTTGTAGTAAAATAAATGACGATCTGAATAATGTATTTGAATGGTTGTGTATGAACAAACTTAAATTAAATTTTGACAAAACCAAATGTATGGTAATAAATGATAGAACTGGTGGCGTAGTTGATATTCGTATTAGTAATTGTCCAATAGAGAAAGTAAGCTCCATTAAGTATTTAGGAGTAATAATTGATGATAAATTGAATTTGGACAAGCATGCTGATTACATAGCATCCAAAATTGCGAAAAAGATTGGTTACTTGGGAAGACTGAGGAACCAGATAACAGAAAAATGTGCGAAAACCATATATAATTCAACAATTTTACCTCATTTAGATTATTGTTCGTCTATATTGTTTCTTTGTGATGAAAGTAAAAAAGAGCGTTTACAAATTTTACAAAATAAAGCAATGCGCATTATTTTAAGAAGAGAAAGAAGAACGAGAATTCAAAGTATGCTAAGTGAAATTAAGTGGATGTCAGTTCATCAGCGTCTAAACTTCAATGTATTAGTGTTTGCTACAAGCTACAATCTGAGATCATCGAACATGTTTAGATTACCATTGTTTCGTCGACAAAATACACAAAACAATCTATTTTATAAAGGGCTTCAACTGTTTAACAACTTACCGATCGTCATAAGAAATGAAACGTCTATTACAAAATTTAAAAACCTGTTGATTAAATATTTAACGTCAAATGATGAAATGTAATTTGATTTTTGCATATTATACATATATACATGTACATATGTAATATTTTATTATTGCTTTCTTATATTATTACTTTTAAAAAATTATATAAATTTTTATTATTTTAATTATACATATTATTATTTATTAAAGTCATTTTAGTTCTCAAATTCAGATTTTATTTGTTTATTTAAATTTTCAAAGTACAACAAATTTAAAATGTATTCAAATTCATAATTGACTTTTTGAAATAGTATTTAAACTAATAAAAAAAAAATAAAAAAAAAAAAAAAATGCTGTTCGAAAAAGGAATTCTCGATTGCATCGAAATGATCGCGGCGTTCTCCATTGTATCATATTTTAGTGTGGTAAAATAAGAAACATTATAAAAACAACTTAATATCGTCTGTTAATCCCACAGGGTCGTAAAAGTAGAGAAAAAAAATTAAAAACCAAGAGTAAAAAAATGGTACATATAAAACCTAACAATTTTTATCACAGGGTTAAACAAAAATTACCAAAAATTTAAGTTCAATTAAAATTAAGAACATTTTTTTCTGTAATGACTAGATTGATAGTCAGGGTTTTTTTTTAAATCGAATATGTTTAATTTTTTAAGTCGTATTAATTGTAACATTCATTTTGATGTTGTCAAAATTTAATTTAGTTATTTTCTAATTGAGTTATATTAATGAAAATATTGCTGTGGTGTTGTAAAAAATAAAACAAGGCAAAAAAAATAAGAAATATTATAAAAGTAACGTTGAACGAGAAAATCATTCTTTAAAATTTTAAACAAATAACATAAAAAAGAATGAAAGAAATATCATTTACTTTACACTGAACTTTCTCAAAGATATATCAGATACCCTTATTATGATCGGCGAAGCGAATGGCTAAGCGGATCGAATATTTTAAATTATGGTCGGCGAATGCTTTCATTCGCCAGATCCAAAATGTTTCTACCGCAAGATGTCAGAAAACCTACCGAAAATAATAAGGTTAACACCACATATGTATGTACATATGTACATTGTTTTTGCTTTTTGCAAAAACAATTGAATTTTTCTATCCTTTAGCAATTACGGGGTTGTTTATAGCAATTATGGGTCCATTAATTTATTTAAATGTTCGAATTGTTTTTGGTTCGTTTTTTTTTCACGCTTAAATTAATATTAAACAATCAATATTTTTTACAATAATTTGTAGAATTTTATGAACTTACTTTACAGATAGTTTAGATTTTTCCATTATATCATTATAAATTCTATAATATCCAATAAAAAAACACATACGTATATTAATTTGATTTTTCATTCACCAAGCTTATCATATATAATTTTCATTCGACAGATTTGTCAGCTTATTCGCCAAAATTTAGGCGAGGTCGCTAATCATCATACCAAAAATTTCATTCGCTTCGCCGATCAATAATAAGGGCCAGAATCTCGGTTTTGTTTTAAATATTTTAATTTTCAGGCAAGAAATTAATGATTCTATAGGAGACATTATAAAACTCATGATCTTGTAAGATTGATTAAGCTCAGGCAGAGTATATGTAGGTATCAACTTTAAAATTGCAAAAATTTCAAAAATCAATATCTAAAATACGAGTACTTAAAGCTTTTAGAGCATACTCAAAATGGCACAATAGAAAAAAGAAAATAATCATCATCAACCACAACTCAAAAAAATCATTAAAATATTTTTTTTTTAATGAGTCAATAAACAATATTAAAACAATTAAAAATGTTTCAGTCGGTATAAACCGAATTATACCCTGCACGTTAGCAATCTGAGTTTCAAATTTGTTTTTGAAATATCTAGAATTAGCTCTCATTGTTATATACCAAGTATTCGAACCTGAAAAACCACTCTATAGAAACTGCATATATATGTCTGAGCTACAATTGGATACGCAACTACCAAGTTTTATGAATCTAACTATTATTTTTTTGAATATTTTAAATTAGCTTTTGGAGTTCCATGGCAGCTATTCAATCCTGTTAGGCCATTTCATCAAAACTTCAGAGATATGTGTGGGCTGATATTGGACACACGACTGTAAAGTTTCATGAATCTAACTCTATTATTTCCCAAAATCATTAAAATTTACTTTTGGAGTTGTATGGCAGCTACCCGGATTTGTCAAGTCATTGAAACAAATCTACAGGAATATATGTGGCCAACAATTAGACACATGACTGCCAAGTTTCATGAATCTAGCTTTATTATTTTTCCGAATATTTAAAATTAGTTGTTGGAGTTATATGGTAGCCACCCGAACCTGTCAAGCCATTTTACCAAAACTTCAAGGATATATGTGACCTATAGTCGGACACACGACTACCAAATTTCATGAATCTGACTTTATTATTTTTCTAAATATTAAAAATTAGCTTTTGGAGTTGTATGACAGCTACCCGAACTTGTAAAGTCAAATCACCAAAGAAAAAAGAATCTGATGTGGTCAGCACATAACCGCAATGTGTATTGTCTAGTTAAGTGAAAGTGTTACAGAATATTATAAAAATGTCTAAAAAGAATATTATAAAAATTAAGTTAAATACTTCTTTCCAATTTTTAGGACATTAGTAAGCTTATAATTAACATACCTAGAAAAATGTAAATTTGGGTCTTAGTAAAGTTTCGCTTTGTGCTACTCGAATTCCCTGAAATGATCCGGTAACAACCAGAACTCAAATATCAAATTTCAAGAAATTCCATCAATTCGTTCCGTAGATATGGTGAAAAATGTAAAATCGGCCCGCAGAAAAGTTTCCGAGCGCTGGTCTTTCCAAAAAATTTATATGTTACGAAGAATTTAAATATTAAATTTCATAGAAATCGGTTGATTATTTCTCTTTATATACACAAAAATGTATACATATTTGGCCCGTAGTAAACGCCCATTTGCTGATGTCTGATTTCTTCCAAAAGTTAGGAATTTTTGCGGACGGTTGAGCAAAGTTTATATATGAAATTTCAAGAAAATCGGTTGAATATTTTCTCCAAAATGTTCAAAAATGTAAAACAGGCTCGCTAAAAAGTGCAATTCCCAAGATCTGATATATCCCAAAAGTTGATCAATCCGTGCCATGGTGGAAATAAACTTCCATATAAAATTCAATCAAAATCGGTTCAGCAGAACTTGAGATACAGGCGTACACACACAGACCGACAGGTTGCTAAAAATAGTTTATTTACACTTCCCTACTATGTAGAGAAGTGCATTCCCACCGAAAACTCGATATACAAAATTTGTTGCCATCACATAACTTACCTATTGTATACACAATACGGTCGGTAAAAAATTGGAAGATTTATAAAGAATTTTAAGGTTACAGGTTATTGTAATGGTAACTTCAATGTGATTAAACTGAATTAAATTTTGTTTATGAACATTCTAACAAAATTCGACTTTGTTTGATTTCATTTTGTCACCAGCATAAAATTTAAATTTCAAAATTTTTTATGTACCTACCTACCTGGAATTATTATAAACTTCATATAATTATGTTTCACTAATTTCATAAAAGTTTATTCAAGTTTTTCGTATTAGTCTCGTTTAGTTTATTCAATTTTTTTTTTTCATTTGATACACAAAAACTAAGCTTTGCCAATTTTATTTTATTCATTAAAATAGTAAAAAAAAAGAATATTCAATATAAAAAAGTATATATACGTTAATTCTCATCCTTTATAAAAATATAATGCCTTATTTCCTATTAATTTTTTTTTTGGAGAAAACTCCAAATATTGTCAGATCAAATTAAACATTGCATAAAAATATTTTATAGAAAATATAATTGCTTTTCTAATATTGAACTTGGACTTTGATGAATATACTGTCCAACAAGAAATGCTAATTTATGAGCGTATTGGCATACAGCTGGTACTCTTGTAGTACCTGACCAATTATAATATAAATGTGTGTATTTATATGTTAATACCTGCAACTGATTTGCATCTAAACCAATTGAATCGTATAAAATATTGTATGATGTAGGTGATACCGTACCTTGTCTAACGGATTGTGACACTAAATAAAAGTCATAACGCTCGGGTAATGTAATAATATCGTCAACTACCGTTCCTGGTGGCGGATTTGCCTTATTCAAAAAATATCTAGTGCTTATACGTTTAGAAACAACTATAAAGCAAAAACGGCAACCATTTGGAATATTTGCAGTTTGGTAAATTTTATCCAAGCTTTCTTTTAAATATTTCACTTCATGTTCGAAAACTTGATTTAGGGCACCTTCACCAACTCCATCGCGATAAAATAAGATTCGATCTGGTAAAGTACCATGCACTTCACGATATTCACGCAATGCTTTTGTCATATTTGTTGAAATTTCGTTGGATAATTCAGCACCTTTAACGTGTTCAGATACAGTACTAAAGAATTTTGTACTAACTTTTAAATCCATTGTAGCTACCATAGCTCCATATGACTTCGCCTTATCTCTCGTAGAGTGACATACATCAAAACCCACAGTCATTAGTCCTTTACACGGTATATGAATTGTCCAAGGTGCACCCATTAATTTACAATTCATTTGAATCGCAACTTTAGTTGCAACAGACATTAATCCACTAGGCTTACCTTGCTTGGGAGCAATGGTTTTATGTACGATTACTTGAGATGGCACAGCGCGATCAACGCACAGTTTTTTCTTTATGCAACTATATCTGAAAAGTTTTTTTTATATTTGAGGAAAAATTCATAATTTATGTGTTTACTGTACCTCTCAGCGTTATCGTTAGGAACAACCAAGCAAATTAATTGAGGGTCACTGCGACAACAATTTTCAATTGCATTAACATATGTACTGTTTCGATCATCATTCAATGTAATTCTAAAAAATAAAAAAAAAATAAAATAGGCACATAAATTCATCCTATACTATTGATTTTTTACGTTCTTGGGTCCGAAATTTGCATTTTCATACCAGCTGCTACTTTTATGATTGCTCTTACAAAATCGCTAGCTTCTCGTTGACTCCTTGTGGGAACAATTACATACCACCGTTTCAAAATGGCGCATACAAACATAGAATTTCCTCTGAATTCACGCGTCCAATCAGCTTCCGGACCTGTCTTTACTCTACATTTTCGTAAAAATTTTATTTTTACATAAAGATGTCATAAAATATGTACCTTGCATTGTTTCCAAAAAATATGTCTTCGGATTGCAGAATTCTACCTGGTAACTCTACTAAATGTTTATCCAAACTTAACTTCCATGTGTTAAGAACTTCCATTGATTCTCTTGTATTATATAACCTCTCATTAAAAGCTTTTAAACGATCTATGCGGCTAACTGGTGTTAAACGGGTATGATTTGAAACTGCTCGCATTAATCTAAAATATAAAATTTATACATATGATTCTCGACAAAAAACAACTACGGAAGCGTAGATAAAAGAAGACATACTGAAAATTACTCCGCATAGGGTCGCTTAAACCTGTAGCGCGACATAACTCTGGCACTAACATTATAAACTCATTTTCTCCACCACGTAGTTTTTTTTCAGTAGATTTGGAAATCAACAATGGTTGTTTAGGATCTCTAATATTAACATTATAACGCTAAAAAACAAAATTAAAAAATTTGTTAAAAAAAGTTTAAATTAATACACACATCACGGCTCTGGTTAGTATACTATAATGCATACTTACCTTTTTGTAGTATTCAACATAAGTAATTTGCCCATTTTTAGTTTCAAACGTGCTATTTGGTGATGCTTTAAAATCCACGTCGTCTACACGATACGTTTTATTGTTATAGTCCGTTAATACCACCATTCCTATAAAAAAAAAAAAAGAATACATATTTGAAAATATGACGAAGCTAATAACGCTTAGTTAGCTTTTTGTTTTTTCTATCTTACCAATCACTTCTTTCTTAAAAACATCTTGAAAATTTCGTTCTTCTTGAATTTTCTTTTGTAAAATATTATACAAAGTGTCAGTTCTCATAACTTTGTATATAATTTCTGAACATAGAAGAATATCTTTTTCATGTTGACGAAACGATGTTTTATATCCCGGCCATAATTCTAATTTATATTCTCTTATATCAACCTGGAATATTTTTTCAAAAGTACATTAATTATGTATCATTATGTATGGGGTGGTAAATTTTAATTAATGTGAAGAAAAGCACCTTTGCCATGGCATCAAAAAAATTTCTACCGACCAACTGAAGTTTTAAACCATCCATCGATTTTCTTAATATCAGATTCAAAATTTGTAAAGTTTGATAGTCAGTTGGTTCAAGTACCCCCACATATTTCAACGTTACTTTAATTATGTCCCCGTTATTATTTTTTGTTGCAATTTCTAGATCCTTTTCATCTAACATTTTACAACAGAAAAGAACCGTTCCATCAAAAATATTACCACCAAAACGTTCACGATGACTATATATTATTCCTTTTCTTACACGTAAATGCTCAATATCAGGAGAAAAGTCAACTCTATATTGATATAAACTCCAATCATGCTTCTTTATTGTGCGAAAATAATTGCTTTGTAAAACTACTTCTTGCCCAATTGTACCTTTTTTAGACGTACACTGCTTAGGTTTTGTTATTATTATCTCATTGATAACCCGTTTGCCTCTTAAAGCACCACGTGAGCCATTCCCACCATTTCCAATATCTAAATATCAAATATAAGAAAATTAAGATTACAAAATTATTTATGAAGGTACATGTCACATATTTTAATAACATAATTAGTTCTTTCAAAGTAAGATGTACTATAAAAGTAAAGTTGACCAATAGTAACGTTCAGAAATATGTACATTGTACGCATAAAATATAATATATCATATGTACTAAATGTATTTACAGATATGTAAATACATATGTACATATATGTGAATCCATACGTACATATAAGTAAATACATATGTACATATATGTGAATGCATACGTACATATATATATATGTAAATACATATGTACATATATGTGAATCCATACGTACATATAAATACATATGTACATATACATATGTGAATCCATACGTACATATATGTGAATATTTATATGAATACATAATGTACATATATATAAATACATATGCACATGCATATATAAATACATGTGTACATATATGTAAATACATGTATGGACATAACCACCTCTAGGATGTTCTAATGTAAAGCTAACCTGCACGAGCTTTTGAGTCGGGTGCCACTTCTTCAACTCTGTGGGATGTTCCTCTGCCAACAGTAGACACGGATGGCGCACTTGGCCTCGGACCACTTAACAGAGCACGTGCTGCAGTAATTGTACTGGCTCCCGTGCTTGTAGTACTTGTACCAGCTTGTGCCCAAACTGGTTGTGCTGGTGCCACTGTCCCTCTAGAAGTTGATCCGCCTTCAATCTACAATTTTAATTTTTCTTAAAATAATTATTATACTATGAATAAGTCATAACATACTGAACCACTTCCGCGTCCACTTGGTGGTTTAGACTGATTACTTGAGACAATGCCCCTTGCGCGTCCTCTTTTACCTTTATCCATTTCAAATTTTCAAGAGTGTAAAATAGAGACTCCAAAAGTTATTTTTTATATTTTATACTAAATTTAAATTTAAGATAAACACAATGAAATGCTCGTCAATCTTGATCATCGAAAGTTTTAAATTTCTTAACTCCCGTTATAAATTTTGCAGAGTCAACGAAATTTATTAGTGTTGTCGCATTGTAATATTTATGGCTTATGTAAAAAAAATAAAGCATTGAAACACAATGAACTATTTAAAACTCTTTATAAAAAATGTGTGCTTTCACCTAAACAATGCTATTTTATATGGAAATACAAAATTTTTCATTTTTTGAGGTGGTTTTCTCGAAGAAATTGTTTAAACTTTTAAAGTACAAGATCATAACATAAATAAGTCTCATGAGTGCGTTTTTTTACCAAAATTTGTTAAATTTTTGACAAGTGACATTAATTTTATCAAAACTTTGATATTGTCAAAACATAACTCAATTATTTATTAGTCTATATTAGTTATTTTCAAACTTAACGTGAGGCTTATTTATCATTAAATTTTAGCAAAATTATTTTGTTTCGTGAAGAAAATTAATATACGCATATGAAATTTTTTTTCTGGATAAAGTTATATGTATTACCGCAATAATTAATTTAATATTTCTTCTACATCTTATTTTATATTTTATTTACTTTGAATTGAACTTAATTTTATGTAAACTTAACCCTCAGTTGACGATCAATTGAAATACGATGAACTAATAAATTCGACTCACCTGACCAATATGTAGTGATTATTGAATTGGTACTTTCACTGAATGCTTCCGGGTTCAAAGGCTATCATGCACCAATGCTATGCTTATGCCAGGAACGAAGTAAGGTAGAAAAACAAAAAGAAAATTGATTTGGCACAGATAAATTCAGTTAAAAAACGAAGAAATATTTTGTTGGATATTGTAGAATGAAATGGGATTTATTCAATGTATTTTGGTACTTCGGATTACAAGCTTTTTTCCTACAAAGTGCTTGGAAGAAATGTTTTTCTATTAAATATTTTTTCAAATGTTCAGTTGTATCGTTTTTTGATATGAAATGAACTATGAAAGTAAATACATATTCTATTTATTTGAATACAGTTTTACATGGGAAAAAGGCAAATGTCATTTATACGATATATGCTGAAATCTAAAGAGCTTATTTCATAGCAAAGATATTTATCTTACTGATGGCGAGCATCAACTTTCAAATCCAAACTCATCATGTTTTCACAATCAAATATTTCACGACATATATTTGGTTATTACGCGAACTGCATTATTTTTTTGTGTTTTGATAATTAACATTTTTAAGGTAATCAAATTAACCTGGATTCCCAACCCATTTTAGTACTCTTATTTTGCCAACCGTAAATTTTACTCAGACAATGGTAGAGATCGCACTTTATTGGGGCTTTTTGCTATAAACATATTTAATGCATTTACATAGTGTTGTCAAAACTTCGATTTTAGAAATGAAAGAAAATTTTTTTTTTTATTATTTCATCGCCGCATTGCCTTTTTTGCATAAACCTTTTAATATGTGAAGAACTTTAGATATTGAGAAAACATAAGTGTAAGAAAGTTTTTAAAAACATTATAAAACTTGAAAAAACTTAAAGTTTTTGCATGCAGAGTCGGGTATAACAGTTTTCAAGGCTAAATTAGAGTCAATTATGACGTTTACATTCTCTCAATGTTTAAAGTTTTTTTTTAGTTTTGTAAAGTAAAATTTAGTACTTTAAAAGCTTAAAATCTTAATGCTGTCAAAATATACGTTTTTGTTGGTTATGTCAGATTTAATTTAAAAAAAAATTTCATCGACAATAATTATTTTTCAAAATTTTAATTAAAAAAAAAATAAACAAAATAGTTTAAATGGATTCTGGACAAAGTGGATTCACAAAAATGAATTTTTCCTAATTTTCACTTTTATTTATTTTTTTCATAAAAATATTTGTTTTTCGAAAAATATTTGTTTATGTGTGGTGAAATAATGTTATATTTCCAACTTTTCTCTTTTAAAGTTTTATACATGTTATACAAATGTTGCCAGAAATAACCAATTAATTGTAAAAATTGTATTCCAAAATATATCAAAAGTTTTAGCAGTTTTTTTAACAATGTAAAGGTATTGAAAGGTCTGAGGCGGTATTAAATCGTATTAATAAAAAGTTCAAGTACGCTTAAACTTTTTATAAAGCATTATTGAAGTCACGGTTTTTTTTAAAGTTCTGTCTTGCACATTTAAAAAGTTATATACCAGACCCTTTGCTTACAAAAACTTTATTATGCCAGACAGACCTATTTTGCTTTTCTTTTTTCATTACATTTACTAAAGTTTTTAAAAATACTAAAATTATTTAAAATCTGTTGTTTGTACACTAGTACACACTACAGAGGTGAACAGCATAGCTTGAATTGGTTCGTTTTTTTTGCGCTTAAATTAATATTAAACAATCAACATTTTTTACAATAATTTGAAGAATTTTATGAACTTACTTTACAGATAGTTTAGATTTTTCCATTATATCATTATAAATTCTATAATATCCAATAAAAAAAAAAAACACTAATGTATTATTTTGATTTTTGGTTTCATTCGCCAAGTTTGTCACACAGAATTTTCGTCCGACCGATTTTATAGCTCATTCGCCTAAAATTTTGGCGTATTCGCTGATTGTTACACTAAAAATGCATATTCGCCATTAAACGAATTAAACTTAGAACTAAGTTAAACGATATTGTGAATTGATGTATTTATGTTGTACAATAAATGAAATTATGTTGTTGCCAAAGCAGGTTTTCATTCTTTCTCGAAATCTGGACAGACTCAGTTCCTGATTTTAATTTTGGTTAAATATAAACTTTGCAGTAATAAAATAAAAGTGATGGCAATAGTTGTAGCTTTTAAACTATTTTTCATCTAAATTGTAAAATCTACTCGCGAAAATTAATTCAGTAATGTCATTTTTAATAAAAAATTTTTTTACATAACTTTGTATAGTAAAATTATTTTATTTTTATACTTCATCCTTTACAACTGTTGTTTTTTCTGATACGTATAAGCCATCTAAAAACTTACGTATATCTTTATTTTTAACTGTAGTGGACTGTTGAATTAAAGCAGCGGAACCAGAAACGGCCTCAATATCATTGCCTTCTACGATTAATTCGTCTTTTTGGGCAGTTGAATTGACTACTGTAACTCCAGGTGCCATAACTACACGACGAATATATTTTTCACCCAAAAAGTTTCGAATTTCAATTACTGAATTATTTTCAGATGTAACGCAATTAATCGGGAAATGAGCGTATACCGCACGCATTTTGTATTGGAAACCTTTAGTTACACCTAAAAAAAAACACCTTTTAATCAAATTTTTTATATACATAATTTTTTTTTCATATTGTACTATTATTCTAATTTATTTGAATTCCTTGGCAGTGTTGTAATTTTTGTTTATTTACCTTTAATCATATTTTCAATATGACTGCACACTGTTCTTACTGCTGCTAATTCTTTTTTTCGTCCAAACCATTTTTCCACTTTCAAAGTTCTCGAATTCACCATATATATGTCGAGAGCTAAATGTTTGAAATTTCGCTTCAAAACACCTCTAGGCCCTTTAATTGTCACAACACGTGATTTCACAGAGGCTGTGATATCTTTTGGAATTTTAACAAATTGGTTTGAGTTGATGGTCTTCATTTTGCCTCCTAAAAATTAAAATAATTATATTCATTATTTAATAACGTACAAATATATTATGTGAAATTTGATTTATGAGGACACATTCTAATCCATATTTTGATATTATTGGTAAATTGATTTTTAGAAAATAAAAAATATTTTTTATCTAAAAAATTGGATTTCATGTAAACACAATTAAAAATTTTGAATTGAAAATAATGCTCTTTAAACAAAATCTATGGCACATCAAGGAAGTTAAAAAAACATAACGTAATAAATAAATAATTACAAGAAAATTCATATAAAAATAATTATTCATTTTGATAGATGATTCTGTATTTATTTTCTACAAAAATATTTTAATAACTTACACGTCTTGGCATTGACCGGAAAGAGAGTTCAGTTAGGAAAAGAGAAAAGTATAACTTTGACAGCTGTCAAACTAACTGTGTGTTTGTTGGTTGACTGCTCTTGAAAGTTTAGATTTATTAGAATTCCTCATTCAATATGCCTGTTTACACGACGACGTTACGCAATCGATACGTTCCATTTCTCTTGACAACAAAGCTTATGTAGGTCACCTATTGACGCATTATTTTTCTCAGCGAGTAAAAACGTTTCAGCTGTTAAAATTTTAAAGTTGTTGGAACATTTTGAAGGAATAAGTCGACCAATTTTCATTTGAAACAGTAGTTAGAAAGAGAAACAGATATCCTTACATTCAGTAGATACCAAATTTATCTCTTCGTAGTGTTATTTAAAACGGTATCCCAGCTTAATCCAAAACTTCTCAAGCAGCAGCAAAATGAACGGACAGCGAGTTGTAATATGGATTTACGAATGGTAATATGGAAAACTTTCTGTTTCAAATTGTTGTATAATATAGGCTTAAAATTTATTGCTTTCTTCTTCAGCAAAAGACTTTTCAGTTCGTTCATATTGATATCTATTTTCATATTCATATCTTGTTCTTGAGGATATCATTCTTATCAATTGTTTTGAATTTAAATCTTTTTGCTCAATAAAATTCAACTCATTTGTTTTCTTTAAACAAATACTGCAACAAATTAAAAATACTGAAAAAAATCCGAAACTATAATTTTTTGATTGATTTGACAAATGAAAATTTGTGAACTATTGATTTTTATTTTAACTAAAGTAAATGAATGCTCAATTTTTTTTTTCTGAATTATAAAAATTAAACGGTGAAAGTTTAGACCGTAATTCGTAGATTGCGGTGATCCGTTTTAATACTAAAACAGTCAACATTTAGACTTAAGTTGATGGCAATGTATTTTAGCCCAATGAAGAATGCATTTAGTACAAATGAACATAAACCTTTCTTAATTTTTCCGTTTTTGTTTGCTCTATGTTCTTGTAAAATACTTATTTATATGCAAGTAAATGCAGTTATGCTGAGAAAACTTTAACTCTAAAATTTTATATTTTTAGATAAATTAACCTAGGCGCCATAAAATCGGATGCTCTTTCGTCTGCGAACAATATCTAAACTTAAAAGTGTTCTTAAATATCTAAAAATTATAATGCCTCGATTTGTTATTGCTAAATTTTGTATTTTTAAAAGTCAATATCACTAAAAAAATAATTGCGAGTTATCTAGTTGTAGTATTAACTTCATGATATTTGGTCTAATTCAATTTCCCGCTATTACAATAGCAGCAATTCCATTTCAAATTTTTATTTATTTTACTAACATAATAGATTGTCAAAACCGTATGAGTTCATAAAGTAAAAAATTTTTCCGAAGACACTGAAGAAATTTTAGTAACAAAAGAAGAGAAAACTTTATTTCCAGTCTATTAATTTAATTCCTCAATGCTATTGCCAGTCTATAAAATGAAATCCTCTATGGTATGTAAAATAAGATCTTTGATGTTTTATGGGAAATTTTTGCAGTTTTAAAAACTCTGGTGTTTAATCAAAATAAAATTGTTTTCATTATTTGAACAATCTTTAAATAAAATTTAAGTTTTGGGCTTACCTCAAAATTTGCAACAATGGAATCCACTGAAAATCAATCTGAAGTAAATAGAGATGAATTAATTTTACAGCAGCAACGCCAAATAGAAAAAGAGGTTAAAAATCATAGTCTGCAAATTACTAGTAAAAATTAACTTTTTAACCTTACAGATATGTGATACAATTCCATTAATTAGCGAGTTACAATCAGTAGATACTTTAATTGATGAATACCTTGACGATGATATTTACAAATCTAAAGTTTCCGATCTTGGTATATATTTAAATATAATAAAAATTTTTAAAGACAAATTTAATATGTTCGTGTTCTATTTTAGGCGATAAATACAAATCGATTCGCCGGACAAGACCTGATGGTAATACACATGTATTTTATTAAATTTTATTAGCAAATTCATATGTAGGTAACTAATTCATATTTTAGGTAATTGCTTTTTTCGTGCATTTGCATATGCTTATTTGGAGTATTTAGTAGGAAATAAAGAAGATTACAATAAATTCAGAGAACTTGCCCTTAAGTCAAAAGAAAAACTTGTTCAGCTAGGTTTTCCTCAGTTCACACTTGAAGATTTTCATGAAACTGTAATTCACTGAAAAAAAAAAAAAAACATTTTTTTTTATGTATATAAAAAATTTTTTTTTACATTTTTTAGTTCATGGAAGTTATTAACAGGGTTTCACCATCAGGATCAGGTGACGAGAAAGAAGAATTACACAAAGTTTTTAATGAACAAGGATATTCAGATTATGTAGTTGTTTATCTTAGATTGATCACTTCTGGACAATTGCAGGAAGGCGCCGACTTTTATCAAAACTTTATTGAGGGAAACTTTACTATAGAAGAATTTCGTCATCAGGAAGTTGAGCCAATGTATAAGGAGTCAGATCATATTCATATTATAGCATTATGTGCAGCCCTAAATGTTGGTGTTCGTGTCGAGTATATGGATCGTGGAGATGGTGGAAAAGTCGTTGCTCATGATTTTCCAGAAGGTACTGACTCAAAAGTTTTTCTATTGTACAGACCAGGACACTATGATATTCTTTATCCAAAATGAGCAATTACGAAAAAATAATTTTCGTATTTTTTTTTCTTTTTGTAATTATAACGAATTTAAATATTAAATTTTCAAATATTATAATTATAATAATATTTAGGTTTATTAATTTAAATAATTCAAAAATTCTTGATTTTATAAGTTCAGAATGGGAATATTTTGTAATAAAATAAATGTTTAAATGAAAATATTATACCATAATTTTGAAAAATATTTTAATTTTTTATTTTCAAAACAATAAATAGAGCTATAGAAGAGATATTTACTTTAAATCTTTAAAAAATGCACTTATATGAGTTAAAGCTTCTCCGTTTTATTTAAATTAACTTTTATTATATGTATTTATGTACCTACATTATTTACTAAGATAATGCTTATCTTACCCAAATCGTTCTTTCTATATAAAGAAAAAACAGTAAAAATTAACCCATACATGAAATCAAATAACAATATCTATTCTATATAATGGAAGGTTGTATAAGAATTATATAATTTTTCGAAGTTTTCTGAATTTTATCTTATATATTTCAACACAATATCTTTTCTTACATAATTTCTATACTACTATCACTATTCTTGATTACGGCTTCAGTTTCTGATGATCCAGACCCAGAACCATCAGCATCATCGTTCTTGTCTGCTTGATGATGCTGAGTAGACTGTAATTGCCATGCCGGAATTGGAAAAGGATTTGCAAATTGTTTTCGATTTAAAAGTAATCCCTTAATAGCCTCTAAATCATTCTTAAAATTACTCAACTCCCTTAATATATCATTTTGATTATTGCATGAAATATCTTCACGTATTTTAATAACTTCCGTGCTTAATTTGCTAATTCCAGTGTCTACTTTATTATCGATTTCACTTAACTGCTCTTCTACAGTTTTTTTCTTTCGACCAAACAAAAATGGTTCAATATAGTTTTTATAAAATTTATATATGGCATATATTATCCCACTTATAATTGCAGCTGAATTTAAGAAATCTTTAATCTTTGTAAATGTTGTTGGTACTTGCAATTGATGAACGACTAGATTTTTAGAATGCTGCGCTTGAGATGAATTTATACCCAAATTAATTACAGTATTCGGATCATTCGAAAATACTCCAGCTCTCTCGAATGCTATTTGAATTTCATTTTCTGTTAAACCTTTGGATCTTAAAAATTTTTGTTTTTGAGATAATGGACTTCTTCGTACGTTATCGTTATGTAGAAAATTTACAGCCGTAGCTATTAAGGATTCTCGTTCTCTGTTGTTTTCTTGATCTTCAACGCTTTGTATATGTGTTTCTGCCATTGCAGAAAGTTTTAATTATATTTTTTGATCTATATGTGTTTATTTTTAACTTTTTTAATATATACTACTTTTGAACTTTCAACTTTTAGGAAGAAAATCCTTCTAAACAGAAGATTGAAAAATAAAAGAGCACTTTTTTGTTTTTACTGACAATTAAAATTGAAATATTTACTGTCGAAATTTTTGAGATGACAAATAAATTAAAACACGTTTCCATGCTTTCAGAGATGTCAAAATAATGGAAAGTTAAAAAATAACTAATTGTATAAATTCCTATAATAAAATAAAAATTTACATGTTAAATAAATCTCTTGCACTAGCTGTGCCTGATATAAATGCATGAAAATAAACTAAAGAAACTTATATGAGTAACTAAATGCCTTTAAAGGATTTCCGATGAAAAATGTAAATCATACCTAAATATGTAATTAGTCAACAAGTTTTTAATTGGGAAATGTCTTCAATTGACAGCTGTCATTCTACGCATTTGAAGTGACAAAATGAAAAAAAGTGAAATCGGGAATGTCGGAGCTTCAGTTTTTGTGTAAATTTTTCTTGCTTAAGTTACGCCTAAAAATTTGTTAAAAAACATTATTAAGTGTCAGTATACATCAAATTTTAATACATTCAAGAGATGAAAACTGCATTTGACGAAAATTAATTGTATCTATTAAGGAATCGCACATCCAAATCAACGTTGTAAAAATTAAAATTTTTGTGAAGAAAAAAAAAAGAAGAAAAAATCTCAAATGACTGCTCATTAACAAATTTATTCACACGATTCATATTCAAGAGTAAAAAAGAAAGTATTGTTGAAAGACACAAAAGAAAAAGTTTTTTGAGCACAAGTGTGTGATTAATCTGTGACTAATATACATTTCAATAAATATAAAACTCAATTTGTAAACTAAAACGCCGCTGCAATGGTAGACAGATTAGTTAATAGTGAGGTAAATTAAAAATATATAAATTTTCTTTACTATTCTAAGAAATATTTTATTCAGGCAAATGCTAGAAGGATATCAATGGTGGAAAATTGTTTTGGAACGTCCGGACAACCATTAGCTATTCCTGGTCGAGTTCTTGTAGGAGAAGGGGTACTCACAAAAATGTGTCGCAAAAGACCTAAAAGTCGCCAATTTTTTTTATTCAATGATATTTTGGTATATGGGAATATTGTAATTGGAAAGAAAAAATATAATAAGCAACATATTATACCCCTTGAAGAAGTTCAACTAGAAGCTTTGGAAGATAATGGTCAGTATAGAAATGGTTGGTTAATACGAACAACAACCAAATCATTTGCAGTGTATGCAGCTACCAGGTATAGCATTCTTTTTCATTTCATTTTTTACTTCCTTATTAAGTAATATCCTTTAATTTTTTGTGGTTGATTCGGTTTTAGTACTGAAAAGCAGGAATGGATGGCGCATATCAGTAAATGCATTGAAGATTTATTGAGAAAGAGTGGTAAAAAACCAGTTGAAAATCACGCTGCAGTTTGGGTACCCGATAACGAAGCAACTGTTTGTATGCATTGTAAAAAAACTCAATTTACTATGTTAAATCGTCGTCATCACTGTCGGAATTGTGGTGCAGTAGTTTGTGGACCATGTTCATCTAAAAAATATTTATTACCACAACAAAGCAATAAGCCAGTTCGCGTCTGTTTGGGTTGTTTTGACCAATTGAATAAGCATAAAATGGACCAAACAAATAAAACTACAATGAATGCAACTCAAGCAAATAATAATAGTACTGTAAACAAAACTGGTGGTGATAGCGTCGATATAATTAACAAAAGCATTTCTGGTGGTGGTAACGAAAGCTCACCAGATGATGACTCTGACGATGAAGGTGAAGATACTAAACAAACTTATGATGAGCCAAAATTTTATGGTGACGGTGAAAAACTAGATGATTCACGTGATATAAAATGATATAAAAAGTTTATAGTTCCAACTTTAGTAAAAACAGTTGCTACATCATCTTTAACAGAAAATCCAACTACATCATCCTCAAAAATAATAGCAACAGTAGATGTGACAAAGCATAAAAAGCATTTTTTTATGTTTAAAAAACGTAAGGAATACGAAAAAAAATCATGTGCAAAAAGCGGATTATTCAGATAATATATATTTTAAGCATAAATATAATATATATATAAATCATTTCATATTTTCAATATTATTAAACAATTAATAATTGAATAGTTTTTGATGAAAAAGTAAAGTTTATAAATTTTTGAAAATTTTTAACAAAATCTTTTCTTGATTTCTGTTTTTTTTCTTGTGGGAAATTATTTAATTATTTTTTGTTTTATTCGAATACGTTTAGATATTTTAATTTAATTTCTATTTTTTTTATTTACTGTTGTATAAATACTACAAAAATTTAAGACACAATTTTAATCAAAATATTTACATTTTATTAATAAAGTTTATTTTTTCAGTTAAATGGTCTGAAGTACATTATTAATTTGTTTTTGTTTATGTATTTATTAAAAATTTTTAAAATTACTTTTAGAAGACACTGATAATATGGAATATGTATACTTTGAGCTTCATCTTCTTATCTCAGTTTTTTAATTCATTTTGTAAAATATTTTTTGAGTTCAATGAATAACTTTTTGGTTGACTTATTTAAATAATAATTTAAATTTGATTTGTTGTTAAGAATTAAGAAATTTTTCTTTCTAAATAATTTTTGAATTTATTACACCCTGGGAGAATGAATAGAGCTATTAATTATTAAGAAACTAGGATTGATTGAGAGTTGTAATTTTTGTATGAAATATTTTTTTTATTGTAAATAAGATATTTTCGTAACATAGATTGAACCAAAACTTGATTATTTATAATTAAGGAAAATGAATAAGACTTTTATCAACAAAAATTTTGTTTAGAACAAATATATTTGAAAATACTAATTTATTAGATTACATTTTTTAGTTAAATTTATTAAAGATTATAATAGCGATAGTGTGTACTATGAATTTTTTGATTCTAAACGTAGAGTCTTTTGCAAAAAGGCTTTTCTTCTGTTAAAACTACTTAACAGTAATGTAAGATGAAAATGTAAACGAAATATTTTATAAAACAGATTCTAGTCAATTTGACATCTAGGAATGTGCATATGAAAAACTTTCCCATTGATGAAAATGGTATATAAAAGGCGATTATTTAAAGTATTAATAAACATTTTATATTTCCTATTTATTTTGCTACTAATAATAGCTGAATATCATGTGTATAAATTTCAAATAACTAAATACATCTACCGAAAATAAACAAAACTAGAAACAAAAAAGAGGGGCAAACAAAAAGGTATGAAAGTGTTCGTTTAACATTTCTCATTATTCGTACATTTTCAAAATATTGTAATAATTCAATTATAATTTTGAATCATAAATGCTCGTTTTGGTGTTAGATAGTCACTCAGCAGAGCATACAGCCATAGCTTCACTTTTCTCTTCTAATAATTCTTTTCCAGTAATATCCAATTTTGATTTACCGAATTCATCAACTGTTAAACCCTGAACAATTTTCCATTGCTTGTTAACGATTTCAACTGGAAATGAAAATATCACATCTTTTGGAGCACCATAGCTACCGTCGGAAACGACACCCATTGATACATATTCTCCAGGCTTTGTTCCATTATACCAATCATGCATATGATCACAAGCTGCTTTAGCTGCTGACATAGCAGAAGATAATTTTCTCGCAGCTATTACTGCAGCTCCGCGCTTTTGAACAATTTCAACGAATTTTCCTTGGAGAAAATCTTTATCATTAATTGCATCCCAAACAGATTTACTTTGACCGTTTACAACAACTGTAGCATGTTTCGGGTCGGGGAACTGCGTAGAAGAGTGATTACCCCAAATAATTACATTTTTGACTGCATCTATTGGTACAGATAATTTTGCAGCAATTTGAGCCGTTGCACGATTTTGATCTAATCTTGTCATTGCCGTAAAATTTTCTTTTGGAATTGATGGGGCGTAGTGAGAACAAATTAAAGCGTTAGTGTTTGCGGGATTTCCCACTACCAAAACTTTAACATCCTTCTTAGCGTATTTATCTAGAGCTTGACCTTGAGCTTTGAAAATTTTAACATTAGCTGATAGAAGATCTTTACGTTCCATACCATCACGTCGTGGCATAGCACCAACCAAAAATGCTGCAGAAACATCTTTAAATGCAACAACTGGGTCCGTAGTAGGAATAACTTCACCTTTTTGGGTAAAATACATGTGTTATGTAGATAGAAAAAAATTTACGCAAAAACATAAAAGTATACAACTTACGTAGTAAAGGTAAAGCGCAATCTGCCAATTCCATAACAACGCCTTCTAAAACACCTACCGCTTGTGGAATGTCAAGTAAATGCAAAATTAATGGTTGATCTTTACCGAAAACTTCCCCTCGAGCAATCATATATAAAAGGGAATATGCAATTTGACCAGCTGCGCCGGTGACAACAATACGAATAGGTTCAGCCTGCAAGTATATTTTATTTTTTTATATGTGAGTATGCATGTATTTATATGTATATATATATGACAGATTATAAATTACATTTTGGTAGTAACTAATATGCAGTTAAGATAAGATTTTAATGCATATTTATGATTAACGATATTTTTCAAGAAAATGCAAGCGGTAATGGAACATTGCCAAATTTGATTTCGTCATTTAACGCCCATGTATCTTTAAATAGAATTTAGCAACGAATAAAGAAGAGTAAATTTAGAAAATTCACCAAATATTAATACTTCAGATTAAAAAATAAATATTAAAAACTTAAAGAAAAATTTTTATTTCAGATTATTATGTTAAAATTAGAAATTATTGAATCAAGTTCAAAACTTATAAGACAACATAAATCTCGTGTTATACACTGACAAATTGTGATTGTTTTCTTGTTTTTTTAAACACATATTGTGTTTAAGTTGCTACCCATGTACTTAATCTTTCTTATATTTGATTTACATTCTTATCAGTTTTTTTATCGCCGGACCTGGGAATAGGTTCTTTACTTATGCGAAATATATACACACATATACTTTGTACATACATTCATATGTACACTCATTAAGTATGTAATCTTTGAACTATTCAAAAATTTTTGATTAAAAATTTTGTACTTATATTACGTTCTGTGGGCTTGTTTAAATATCTTTACGTAAAAGTATTTATAATAACTTTTAATTAACTGAAAACTACAAATTAGCTTAGAAAAATAAACAAAAAAATGATTAACAAATATGTATTGTGTATAGGGTTTGAAAATCGCAAAATTTTTAAGAATCTTCAAAGGTCAAATGAAAGTTACAAAGTTTTAAACAAATAGTGTTAATTAATTATGTACAAATTGACTTACCATTAATTATTGTTCTTGATAGTTTAAAAACAAGAAAACACAAATCAGAAAATTATAAAAAAAAAAATTAACGTGATCTAAATATGAATGTTTTATTTTATGTTTTCCTTCTCTGCAGCCTACACTCCACAGTATTTACCCCAATAATCAAAAATTTTAAATCATCTTGGTTTTAATAATAAGAAATTGACAGTTAAATGAAATAAAAGTAATCACTACATAAGTAATCGTTCTTTTGATAATGGGTAATAAGAACACAATGGTAACGGAGTACGTATTGGGTGTTTTTAAATTTATTTTTAGTTGAAGTATAAACAAGTTGTTTTTGTTTATTTTTTGTATACCTTTGTGTAAACCATAGAAAAACGGAGCTATGCTATCATAATAGTAATGAAATATGCACAATAATTTAATTGATGGACAAATTTAAGAAACAATTACTCAAAAAAGATATTTTTTTGTCCACGACATTACGTACTGAAATAAAAGCATAAATTAATAAACACATATTTTGATATATTATATATTGCAATTTAGCGTTTTTATTAAAAACCTATTACATATTTTCTGAGCACATTTTGGTTACGAAAAATAGTTTCAAAAGATTTTCACTTTTTATTCGACATTCTAAACTATAACGAAATTGTCAAAAAATGCTTAAGGCTCAAGATAAAAAAAACATTTTTCTTTTCTAAAATTAGTACTTTTTAATGATACTTTCGATATTATTCTATTCCTTAATAGATGGCAGTAGCAACAGGATTAAGAGAAGTACACACTTGGGGAAAAAACAGATTTTTCATACAAAAATTTTAGAAAAATATTTTTTTGAAATATTTTGTTATTTCTCCCACACACGATTCTCTCACCTCAATTAAACGTTGACAAAAATGTTGAGCAAACTTGAAATGACACTTTCAAATCGCGTCGAAATGGAACCGTGAAGGAATATCAAGCTTTTCACAGGTCATCAATAAAACTTCATAATACTGGATGCTAGGAAAAGCAACCAATTTACTAGGTAACTATTAACGGCAATATGTCTAAAGCTCGATGAGAGTTCGGTCAATGCTGCTCAATGATGTAGGCATGTATATTTGAAATCAGACATCCATTGCTCAGTTCAAGCATTAAGCACATCACCAAAAGGCGCAAATGCATAGGTTTTCAACCGCAACGTCATCATTTATAGGAAAGGAAAGTAAAAAGAAAGGATAATGTAGGATAAATAGGGGAGGAAAAAAAAAGCAAGTAAAATAAAATAACCAGTGCAAATCAAAATTGAAAGACAAACAACATACTGAGCACCAATTGATTTAAGATTTCTTATATTATCCCTAATAGAAACTCGTTCCATACGAATACGAATAACCACAATAGACCCCAACACAAGCTGCTGCATAAACACTATGCCAGCAACACCCCCACAATCCCTTCAGGACTGCAAATCGATCAATATAAACCAAGCTTCATAAAAGGATCAGACCAGCCCATAACTCTCAATGCAAAAAGCAGAAATTTCCTGAAACAAATTCAACACGAGAAACACCCATCACACGATACGGTGCAGCTAATATGGTAAGTTTATATGGTAACTCCAGAATCGGCCTCACAAGGGACGCATACAAATGCTTCGCAACATACGGATTAATACACTTTATCGCCCAGTTCATTACACAGCCCAACTTCGAATTAGTCCTACCATGAAACATATTCAAATAAGCCGCAAAATCAGCCTTGTGATCAAGCATTGTGTTCGGATGAGTCGACAATACAAATATTAGTGAAAAAATTTCAAGAAACTTAGAAAAGTTGAAGAAAACTGGAAGTTCGGTGGACAATTGAAAGGCGTTGTTATTGCATTCTTACAAAGTTCAATTAACTCAAGAATTGAAACCAAGAGAAGCTCCTGTTTTTGAACCAGGGACTGTTTTCTCATTTCCTCTGAATGTATTTGTGTACGAAGAAAATTATCGCATTTGGGGAGAAAAACCCCTCGATTGATTCTAAAAAAATCCAACATTCAGAAAAATGTAGGAGATTTTTGACAACTTAGTTCTAACTTAGATCTTAATATATAACATCTAAATTGAAAAATCTGCAAAAAAAGCCCGTTCGAAAATGAAAGCTCTGTTAAATTCTAAAGGGATTTTTAAGTTTTTTTACAACTACTGCAAAAGTTATTGTAAATTAGAAGAGAAAAATGTTGAATGTTGATTTTGTTGGTTTTTGTGCTGGCGGAATAATTGGCTCCTTTTTCTTCGATGTTGTCAATGTCAATGGACAACTGATTCACGATTTTTTAGTGGCTTGAGCTTGAAGAAATAGATTAAGACCATCTTTGTTTTCAAAAGAGTAGAGTTTTCGAAAGTTAGACAATATGGGAACACTTTGTATTATTGCGATTTAGGTTAATCCCAATTAATTAATTTCACGTATCTAACTCCAATAAATCATTCTTTGGGGTTTTTTAAAAAGTAAAGCCACAGATTTTTCAGTCATTTCTTTTTGAACAAAAGTCCAAATTTTGTAAAGATTCAAATTAAAAGTTCATTCTATACTATACCGCATTCAGTTTTAATTTAAAAAAAAATAATATTATTGAAAAGCAATTGTAATTAAAAACTTTTGTTACATTATTTTTTTAGCATTTTATTTTTAACATCTATAAGAGATTTTCTAATTTATGGTTTCCCATAAAAAAATTAATAACATTTTGCTTGAATAATAATAGTGAACTTATTTTTTTCTTTACATGTTATCATATATGTATCAATATAATAAATTTACCTAAATATTTCAAAAGTATGTTAATTTTTTAATTTTTCAAAACTGATTTCTTGTTTTTTGCTTAATATGAATTTTAGTAATCTTATAAGGATAATAATAGATAAATTTAATATTTATATATGTATAAATATCTTTTTTAAGCTTTTTATTTTTGTATAATGTTAATATTTTTTTGCTTTTTTTTTGAATAAAAAAAGAATTATAAATCATGTAAAGTTTTTTTTTATTGTTATAAAGAAAATTAGAAATGTTCATGTTTATAGTTTTACTATCAAGTTTTTAGAAATATATTGTATCGTTTTCTTTTCATGTTGTGGCTAAGGCTCAAAGTTTAGGCATTAATCGTTTTTGAAATTACCTTCTTTGTATTCTATTAGCTTTAGCAAACTTTCAGATGGTCAACGCTAGAGCGATCAGTCTTTTCACGAATTGACTAAACTTTGGGCTTTGGTCTAACATAATGTATTATGTATATGTATATATATTTTTTTTATTTTAGATTTGTATAAATTAAAAAAATTTTCCAAATACATAATATGAATATTCTTTTTTTTATATTATTATCTAAGGGCTATGTCATTATTTTTGTTAAAAACTACTATAAATGAAAGTTTCATCATTTTTGAGTTATTATTACAGATATTTTTATTTCTATAACCTAAAAGATTTTTATATATTTATATTATATTTCTCAATAAATTTATTTACAAATAATAATAAAGGACAAAAAATATTATGTGAAATATTTTAACTAGATTTATCAATTCAAATTTTTTTTGTAAACTAAATGATATAATGCAAAAGAATGAATTATAATTTTATTAGCTGAAAAAAGAAAACAAATAAAGAACGAAATTTATTATTCTTATTTAATTTTAGCAGTTGTATAGCTCCTTATAAACCTAAATTGTAAGTTTTATAATATATAACTTTCGCTATATTTTATTTTCATTAGAAATTTCATATGCTATTTTTTACTACATTATAATTCATTTTAAAAAGAATAACAATATCAATAAATTTACTTTTGTAATAAGAAAAAGCAACTTAAATACGATGAAAATATTAATGTAAAATGATTTTTTTTTTTATTTTTAAAAATTATATCTTAATTTAAATGGAATCCCTTTTCCTTCGTTGCAGTTAGCAGACGTTCTTTCATAATTTCTTCAGTCGGATAATCTGGTAGTTTTAAATAATGTACACATGTATTCACAGATGGATAGCTTCCTTCCCCAGCATCAACTTTTCGCACAACCGTTAAACGTGGATGCAAATTCGCTAACCCACCTGGTGGTAAGCTACTACAACCAGTAGTAAATTGTAAAAATGCTTTACGTTCTGGACCAGTCATGCTCATTAGAACATTAACGAATCTTAAGAATCCGGCGCTTAAGAAAAGAAAAAAAATTTTAATATAAAAATATTAAAGTTGAAATATGTATGCGAACTTTAATAAAACTAGATTTTGCTCAATCATTTGAAAACAAAATTTAATATTAATAAATTCGACATTTATATAAAAAATAAATAAAAGCTTTCTTAGTATACGTATGGAACTTATATAATTGGTTAAATACCTGTCTTTTGTGTAACCTAATTTTGGTTCCGTATAATTAATTAGGTCATCTTTAGTCCATTGAGGATGTTGTTCTCCACATATCATCATTCTTGCTTCATTTGGACTAAATGCAGCTAATTTATTTAATGGAAATACTTGACAAAAACCACGATGAAAGGCTTCTAGTTGTTTTGCAATACCATCTTGTAAACAAAAATTCATTTGTAATTCGCAATATTCCTCTAAGTTATGTATAGTAACATCGACTGATGCACCCGATGGAACCAATTCAGCGTACTGGTATTGATATATTTGTGAGCTTGGTAAATATGTAAATGTTAAAGCTAAGTCTTCTAATGATACTTGTCCGGTTTTAGTAACGATTTTGATATTTTCGATTGCTTTATTTTTTTCTTCTGCACTCAATTCATTATTCTGCTCTATACTTTGTTTTTTAGCTACTAATTCTTGTAAGTCTTTTACAAATTTTGCTCTCATTGGATCAATTTCGAGGAAATTATCTTGATTTAAAACGCCATCATACCAACAAGCTTCTGGAAATTCATTACCAAGTAATTTTGAACATGTATCTGCTAATTCTGATTCTTCTGATAAAACACTTGAAATCATAATGTCGTCACAGGTTTTTACTGTATGGATCACAGTGTTAGTTTTTGAGAGTACTTTATTGTGGCAAAGTAACTGTAGGAATGAGTTGGATAAAGGTAAATCAACTAAGCGACCATCTTGCAAGACTTTAGCAATAAAAACTCCAAGGAACCAAAAATATTTTGAAACACGTTCACATATATCGGAGTCTTGAGGTAGTGGTGCTGGGAATAGGCCACCAGGTCGGCGAACATAGAAACCAGCAGGCTTGCCACCTTCTCCCAAATCAATTTCAGTGTCGTCGTTGTTTGTATTATGTTCATCTTCAAAGAGCCACATACATAAGTCTGATCGTTGAAGTTCCGCTGCAACTAAAGCATAAAATTCTAAAGTTGGACCTAATCCTGTGCCCTCTTCTCCAACAAATTCAACTTCTAGAACAGATTTCCTTGTACAATGAACTTTCATCACTTGCATTGCCCATTCTAATAAGTTTTCGTTTCGTGGAACTTTAACACGTTCGTGTTTTAATCGGCCAACTCGGAATTCATGTTGATCATCTCGCCTGGGGCTTAATCCTGGCATACGTTGTCTTTCTAAAGTAACATCACGTTGTGATTGCAACCATACAATTGATCTTGATGCCCCAAAGGCGGTGCAGTTGAAATACAGTTGCCTCGTATCGAATGGGAATAAAAATGGACATGTTTGATTCAGATTTTCACACCATTCAGGTAAGCTATTGCTAGATAACACCAGTGGATCTTGTATCTGTTGCTGCAGCTTGTTGGTTATTTTTTTGCTCATAAATGCGTCAGCTGGCAAACAGCAGTTTGCTCCATTTTCGTCTATAAGCACATCATCCTCGTTTATTTGGTCTTCTGATATTTTTTGCTTTTGATTTAAAGCATTTAATTGACTTAAGAGTTGCAAAACATCTTCAACACTACATGTGTTATTTTCTGGGGCATTATATGCACTGGTAAAACGGCCACCAGAAGCAAATCCTCGCATTGGAGAATTTGGCGACAATGTGGATGCGCCACTTTTCGAAGAGACTATTGGTGTATTAAGACCATCCTCACCACTGCTTGTCATTTCATTTGGTAAAGCTTCTTTGTATATGATCGTATATGTTGGTTCCCATATTTTTCTATACTTATCTTGTTTATTCAATTGGGTTCCTTGCATTAGTTCTTGGACAGCTTTAAATATAGACCATTCAGTATTTTTCAATTCGATTTCAATATCGGGAATACCCCCAATACCGGGACCTTTAAGGCTGAGTGATAAGGCTGGTTGCTGAACCGCAACGTATTCAGTTGACCTTCCTATATCAGTTTCTGAACCTGGAGCTGGAATTTCTAAATCTGATGTTTGATTGACATTTGTTCTACCAGGTCTTGGATCGAAAGCAGGAATTAGAGCTGAAAATTGCCGTTTTAAAACGAATTCATCATCCCAAGATTTTCTCTTTCCCACTGCTGCGAGGCGATTCTCGAGAGCTTCATCATCCATGAAAGTTAAAAGATTTCGAGATACCATCACTTGAAGTAGTGTATTCTGTAAAAAAAGATTAATTCTGAAATCTTCAACGGTATAATTGCCCTATGTTGTTATGTAAACTACAGTTTTGTCAAGTAAAGACCAAATTTTATGAAATAGTGTTACTTACACCAACTTCTTCATATTCATCTTCGTTTTCTTCATCATCATTATCTTCATCCATATCTTCATCATCTTCTAATTCGCCAAGTAATGTTGGAGCACGACAACTTTCAAGAAAATCTTCTAGTGATACCTGTTCACTGTCACTGGATGTTGAGGTTAAACTCATTGTCAAAGCCGGATCTATAGATGTGGGGACTTGATTTCCAGTGGACGCTGAGTTAACAGTATTTCCACCAGATCTGGAGTTGTTTCCTAAAATTAAAATAATAAATTGACCGCATAAATTATGGATAATTTGTAAAATTACCAGTATTATTCGATGATAAGCTTGGATAACTTTGAGCAGTACTTAATAAACCAGAATGAAAGTTACTGGACAAAGCAAGTTTAACTAAACTCGTTACAGAATTTGGACCTCTTGGAAAGAAACTTCCACCACTGTTTGAATTACTATTTGAGTTGTTTTGGTTGCTTCTTTCGTTTACTGCGGCATTGTTCAACGTCTGATTATTTTGAAAGCTGTTGCCTTGCGATGTGCGACGTCTTGCCATCGCTGCAAACGTTTCTAATAGTCCTCCTGCAGTCGTTGGTTCTGGTTGGTGACTGTTGCTGCTTTCAGTAACTGATGTTGTTGTTAAGTTTGGTTCACTTATGCTCATTGGGTTCGATACAACTTGCTCATTTTCTGACTGACTGCCTGAAGTATTCGCACTGTCGCATGATATTTGCTGCTTAAAGAAGTTAAAATTTTGAATAAGTTAAAATAAATTTTTATTAATAAACAATAAGTCATTTTTCCTTTATAGAGTAAACATAACAAAGAAATTACCGTTTGGTTCTGTTGAATATTTGCATTTTCTGTTGTAGATTGTGAAATGAAATTGAAAGTGTCACTGTTATTTTTATTGAGAGAGTCTTTGTTGGAAGGTGAACATTCATCCATGTGTTTATCGTTATAACGCTTCTTATAATGTAAGACATTATCGTCGTTTCCATGTTGTTGTTGTTTAGCAGTTGCCCCAGCATTACTAACATTTGATATTGGATTTGGTAAGGAAATTTTTACCCCTGATGGTATTGATAAGATATCGGAAGATAAAATATTATTTGTGTTATTCCGAATCATGTCGACTCCTTCGCGCATTTTGTCGATAACCTCCATAGCCTCTGTTGAAAACTGTGAAACAACACTGTTACTACTACCATTACCACCACTCCCGCCACTACCACTATTACGAGTAGATGCAGCTGATGCACTAGTTGAACGTAAATTTACTAACAAGGATTTACTTATACTGTTAACTGAATTACTAGCATTCATTTTATTATTAGCTTCTATATTTGAGGATTTGTTATCTTCAGGATAACTTAGTTGACGCATTAAATGATTTATTCCTGAAGAATGATTGCAGTTGGAATTAGTGTTGTTTCCAGAGTTTAATATTGATTGATGTAAAACATTATTACTTCCGCCGCCAGAATTCAATTTAATTGTAGAATTATTTAAACAATTATCGTCGGTTAAAGCTAAATTTTCAGTTATAGTTGCGAGATCAGAAATAGTTGAAGTACTGTTGATTGCTTGCATTGAATTATTGATTGAGGATAAGTCTGTGTGATTCTCACGTTCTCTTTGTAAAGATAACATAGCGCCTGCAAGGGATGCGGTTGCTGAGCCTAAACTTAGATCGTGATGACCGCTGCTATTAATTGACTGCGAGTCTTTAGTTCCCAAATTTCCAATGGGTAACGCCCCCACAAGATCCGATTTAGCAGCTGAAAAATGTTCAGCAATAGCTTCCGCAGCTTGTTTCCATGCCAAATTGTCGGCGGAAGCAGTTTGCTCGGATGGTTGAGCGGAAACAGTGTTTCGATTCATTTCTGTTGCTTCTGGCAAGGATGGAGTTGAAATTGATTTTCTACTCGTTAATACATTTCCACCTTTTCCGTCATATTTCTTAATGTTGCTATTATTTGCTGTTGCTCCAGTTGCTAATGGTACTATAGCTGCAGTTCCACCTTCTAATACCGATAAATTATCACAATTTGCTAATTTTAAATCATATTTTCCTTCTGCGCCCATTCGATAAGAGTTTCGCACACCATGATCCCATTTGACATCAATCCAACCATTATGAATTTCTCCAGTTACAGTCCCTTCACCGCCACCACCGTCTTGATCTTCCCAACGCCAATCAACACCGCGGACAACTCGAGCTCCTGTAGTTATATGTTTAAGTTGAGCTCGAATTTGCCGGCGTTCCCTTCGAATTTTAGCTTCAGCTTCTTTTGCACCTTTACCCATCTCCTCGCAAACGCTTGTTACGCGTCCATATATTTCAAACCCACTTAAGCTTAAATAATGCGTTTGTCCAGAAGCGTTTCGACCATTTTGTTGCACACGAATATGACGGAAACCTTGAGTTTCATCAGGGGAACAAACAACAGGCCAAGTACTTGTACTGCCTGGTTCACCTAAACTTTTATCATCAGAGTGTGTCACCAATGTAGTCCATGTTATTCCATCTTTAGAGCCTTGTAATAACCAATTCCTTAAAGCACTTCGCCCATAGCCACGTGCGTGTCTAAGAGTATAGGATGAAGGTATTAAATACAAACCCAAATCGATTGAAAACCACGCTTTTTTATTATCTTTTGTGTGACAATTAACACTAACACTATCACGGGATAGGATATCTTCCAATTTTCCATAAGGTAATTGCTTACCTTCAGAGCTTGTTACTAAAACTAAACCATACTGGCCAGGGTTAACCCATTCGGTAGTTTTTCCATTAGTACCAATGAAATACAGTAGGCCGTTTTCATCGAAATCATATTGATGTTTGAATATAGTAGCAGATTTTGCATCTTTCAGCTTTTTTAAATATAAAAAGCTAGAGCGATCCATATCGTACCTTAAAGTTGAAAAAAAAAAAATTAAAAAATTGTGCAATAGTTCTAATTTTGAGTAATCAATTAAAAATTTTTCATGAAGATTTGTAACTCACCATTGTTTAGCAACCATTTTTAACAAGTACTTTGCTAACTGACCAACTGTTGCTAATGGTTCCATTTTCAGAGTGCGACCAGTACGATCAAATAAAGTTGTTTCACAAGCAGCTCTTTCTAACCTAAATCGTAATCTTTTCGTTAAAACTTGTAAGCCGTATCCAGATCCGGGGGCTTCATACATATGAATTGGTAATTTTTCTGTACTCTCTAATACCGATACTAGTTTTTGTACTAATATACCAGCCGTATTTTTCAAATCACTTTTATTACTCAAAATACATTGTTTAAATATCGCAATTCTTTGTTTTTGCAATTTATTAATTTTACTTCTTGATAAGCCATTATCCCAATAATTTTTTGATAAAACTGTAACTAAAGCTTGAACTAAACCAGAACTATGCATTTCATATGCACTAACAACACCATCTTCATGTAAAAGATTTGATAAATCATAAAGAGAATTACGTAATTTATCTTGCCAATTTTCTACTGATGATGCCATTGAGCTATTATTATTGCTATTTCCTCCAATATTGTTTCCATTAATACGATGATGTCCACTGATGCCTATACTATTCATTACGGCTAAATTATGTTGATCCTCTAAAGAATTTTCTATTTGTTTAACTATAGTTGCCAACTTAGCTACAGCACCCCTGGGTACAGCTTGAGCTGCTTTGAAATACCTATTATATAAATCTCTAGCCAAATGTTTAACTTGGTTCTTTTGAACTTCTGTTTTATTTTTAATTTTTTTCTTTTTACTTGATGCTGACCAACCGGATGCGAAATCTGGTCCTAAAGTTGTTTCAGCCGTAAAAGTATGTTTAGTACCGCGATTACTTTCAAATATGAAACCAGGTAAATCATCTTGTAAAATTGTAACTTGATGTCCTTCAGTATTATGTACATGTAATTGGTTTTCATTTTGTGATTGTAATACCCAATTTCCAACTACAAGTCGATGTGTTTGGCTAACTATAGATAATATTGGTTGGGATGATGTACCAGGTCTTACTGCTGAACGAGCTCTCTGAAGTTTTTCAAGAAATTCACCTCGATTTTCTATAATAAAATACAATATATAGAAAAGTAATTTTTTTTTGTTTTGGTCTTTAATAAAACTATTAAATTTTACAAAAAAAATATAATAAGATTGGGCAAATACTTTAAAAACCTAAAAAAAATTTAAGTTTTTTTAGTATGTTACTAAATATGTCTAAGTTTTTTAATTGTATATTTTTTTTTTATTAAAATTTAGAGCTAAAAATTTTAAGACAATATAAATAGTATAATCATAAAATTAAGAATACGATTAGAAAAATTATAAATGTAGATATATAATATTATTAATATATATTTCCTTACATAATATTATAGAGGAGTATTAAAGAAGGATGTAATGAAATACATACATAAAGAACATGCACGAATATATAAAAATTATTTTTGAAATTATACCAAAAAAAAATTGAGTTAACCTACTAAAACTGAAATCTGTATAATTAAAATATTTAGAATTAGTTGGACAGATTAATAAAAATTTTAATTAAGTAAATATTTCAATTTTATAATAAGGGATATAAAATTAAATTAAGATTAAAGAAGTTCATGATTCATAATTGTTGAACGTATTATGCAAAATATTAAACTGTCATCAGGAATTATTATTGAAAATATCATTATCACAAACTTTTTGTTTGGAAGATCAAAAATAAAGTTAGCTTATTTGGTATTCTCTTAAATATTTTAATAATGTAGTCAGAACTTACATTTTTATCCAATTTTGTAATATATGTATATTTAAGGTAAAAAACGAGAAAATAATTATTGTTATCTACAGTGTATAATTCTACTAAAAAATAGCAACTTTAATTTAAATATTTGATTCAAAGTTGAGAGTAACCCCGAAATTCAAAGTAATATGATTCTAATTTTCAAATATATTTTGAAATATTCTATTGTGAAGAACAATTGGAATCTCATTAAAAATTTAAAATCTTTTAATGATGAAATTTTCATTCGAACCAATATATTATTTATTAGTCTTATAAATAATTTATATACAAAAAATAAGTAAATATGGTAGAAAAACTATGTTTCTTGTTAATAAAACTTTAAATTGATTGTTGTTTTTTAATATTACAATGTTATCTTTTTCTCTGCATATAATTATTAAAAATTTATATAATTTTTTTTTTTTGTAAAAACTATGTTTAAATTTAATAGCTCATAATGTTATTGCTAAAGAAAATTATCAATTAGTAATTGATACATTCAAATTTTAAAGCCCATGCAAAAGAAAGAAATTATTTTAATATGAAACCCATTTTTCTGTTTGTCAATAGCTAATCGAAAATATCTATGATAAAGCATTAAATGAAACCTTAACTGGAAAATAAAACTTAAAACTAAATAAAAGAAAACTGAAAATAAAAAAAAAAATTAAAACAAAACTCTCACCTTCACTAGAAACAGAATCCATGCCACGTCCCTTTCCTACAAAAAAATTCGTAAAGGTAAAAAAAAAAAAAAAAAAATAAACAAAAAATAAAAGAGAGAAACACACAAATAATGTGGTTTGTTTTAAAATATGAAATATCAATTTTTTAACTATATTCTTTTTCTAATTAAGTTATGTATTATTTTTAAAAAAAATTAAAAAATTAAAATCACAGAAATTAAAAATAATCAAAATTTGATTTTAAAATTTTTCAAGATTACATATGAAAGCATTCAAGAATGATTTTCTATGTTTTAGGTGCATATAGATAATGTGTAAATTTATGTGATTCCAATCTTATTTAAAATTGGGAGGAATTTTTCTTAAGTAACTTATTTCAATTAAGATAAATGTAAAGAAATGAAACTTAAAAAATAATTCAATATATACACCGACATTTTCTAAGACGCATTACTTGGTGAGATATTGTTTAAAAATTTTATAATTTTAATAAAATCAATTTCGAAATTTGAAATTCTATGAAAACCTTATGACTTTTAAATAATAACTTATCACCTCAAGTGATGCGTCTAACGGATATGAGTGATTATTCTTTTCTTTGATTTCGAATATAAAAAATATGAACTTATTTATAAGAAAATTATAATTTTGATTATACGATAATTGATAATTAATAAAAAAATTATGAGGAATATAGAAAAGTAAAATGAAAAGAGCGTTGTGTTCGTCCATAAGTTCATATACTATGTATATCAATGTTTGTAATGCTAACAACCCAGTGAATATTATATCTTAGTAATTCATGTGAAAATTATGAACTCTTTTCTTTTAATGTCTGTTATATATTAAAGAAATAAACAATATTTAAAGTTATGTAAGCCAAAGTTCAATAAAAAATAAAATCTACAACTGTATATTGCGTGTAATTATATGAACAAATAATATAATTTTTCAGATTAAAAACATTGTATGTACCATATTTTATGTAATAAATAATCAATTTACAATAAGTATGAATATTTTATATACAAAAATTAAATTTGGGTGATTAAAACAAAATTTTATATTAAAATGCAATCAAAACTTTAATCAAAATAAAATAAATTAGCTAAAATACAAAAAAAATAATCATTTTTTACCTACATGATTTAATTTTTAAAAGCAATTTTCCATTGTGTAGGAAAGAGATAAACCAAACAATATATACGCATAAATACAGATATATATATTTTGATATACACATAAAATATAATAAAGGAAGAAGATATGCAAATTAATATATAATTAAAAAAATTTTAATCTATTTAAATAAATTTTGCATATTTTACTAATAATAGGCTAATGAGTATTCTTGATTATAATGTTATATTATGTGTAATATCATACCAAATAACCAAAATAAAAATAAAAATATAATATGTCCGTACTAATAAAAATATAACAATTCATAATATTACAGAAAAAAATTAAAGAATCCAAAATAAGAATTTAAAAAAAAAATTCAAAATACAGAAATTATTCTATTTATTTTTACTGTTTAACTATATATATTATATGTATACTATAATTTGAAATTGATAAACTTACCTGAGCTATCGTTACCATTTTCTGGACTTCCACTTGAATACATTGTTGCTAATTTTCCATCCAATATAAATCTAAACCAACCGTTTGAACCATTTGATAATTCGAGTGCAGCTGAATCTGACCATACATATAAGCAATCACGACCACGGCAAATGCTCCATTCTCGCCAGTGATATGCTTTACCAGGTAAAATTTCTTTTGCATCTTCAATAGGTGTAGCATCATCACTTCCTACAAAAAAGAAAATGTAATATTTAATTTTAATATTCAAATATATATCATAAGGTGTTTTGAGAATAAAAATATAAGCTAATAAGTATTATCTGGTAATATATAAAATATTATTTGTAAAAATTTTCAAAATCTAAAATCAAATGACTTGCACTATCTTTTACAAATTTTAAAAATGCTACAAGGTATCTTGTTTCAGTCAATTTTTCTAATGAATAAATTAAATACATTTTTATATGTATAAAATAAACATATTTTATCTAACAAAATATCTACCTTTATTTTTAATCCCTGGGCATGTTAATTGAGAACTAGTTGTCGGTAAAACGGATTTTGTTGATGGACCAGCAATATCTTCATCATTAATATTAGTGGATTCAACTTGATTTGTAATTGAATTGGATTGTTGAATTTGATTTTTTAATGAACTATCATTTATTGCGGTTCCATTTGTTACATGTTTATCATTTGTATCATCACCCATTAAAGCTTGAACTTTTGAAAAAACTCCAAGTCTTGCAAATTGATCTAAAAATTCATCTTGTGTTTTTGACATTAATTCTTCTATTATTGTTAAAACAACTAAATGACCATCTTCATCATCCTTAAAATACATATGTTAAAAAAAAAAACAAGAAAGAAAATGAAAAATTTGTATTGTTTAACATTTATTTATATTACAAAAAATAATGTTATATTTTAAGCATACTTTACGATTTAAATTCAATAATATATTATTTAAATTAATATTTTATATTACTTAGAAAATTAAGTATGAGTTTGACATGCTTAAAATATTTTGTATGTTATTTTTATTGGTATATTATTTAAATATACGAGTATATAGACATATGGATATATGTATTTCTATTTAATTCAATTTTGCTTTGAAATTTATTTCGATAAAAAAAAGAGTACGTAATTGTTTTTTTCCCCAAACGAAGTATATTCGTTTTAAATCGAAACAAGTTTCTTGCATTGACGGATTAATTTAGTAAACGAATTATTAAATATGGATTCGAAAAAGACGGTCAAAATGAAATACATAATAAATCTTATATACATTGCATATGTCTTTTGCATAGCAAATTAATAATTTCTTAGTGATAAAAATATAACTTTACAAAAAAACTTATTTTCAAATAGATATTCATAAAATTTATTAATTTTTTTAAATTAAATAATGAATTTGAATTATGAAATTCGAGTAGTTTGTTGTTATTTTAACAATTTTGCGCTATTTAATTTCTTTTTTTTTGCAAAATGAAAGACAATAATTAAAATTATATGATTTATTATAGACAATATGTATTTCAGTTTCTGTTTTTCGAAATTAAATATGCTAATATGTATGTATTAATTTATTTTAATCTTGTAAGTATAGCTGCTTTCGATTTACACAATAAGTTGTAAATAATTTATAGTTCGGAAATTCATTAAAGTCTCAATGAATAACATTGAGATCATTAATGAATAACAATATTTTTTAATTTAATTTAGAAAATTGAAATATGTACATATTTTAATTTGCAAAATTCATATTTTTAACTGAAATTCAATTCAAGAATTTTGCAAGAGCTTCGTTTATATAACGATAAAAAAAAATTTTGATTTGATTCATACATACATATATCGAAAAATAAAATTATTTGTTCATATTTACTTTTCAAGCTGTTTCAGCTGAAACTGATGTAAATCGAAAGTTAGCTACATGTAAATTAGTTAAAATAAAATTATAAAGTAAAAATTATTGACAAAAATTTGATTTTTTAAAAAAAATATTTTTACTTTAAAAACAGTTTACTTAAAAAATAATTTCAACTGAATTAATAAAGATTTTATTGATTAATATTAACAACATTTGAAATATATTTATCATATTATAACGAGCATTAAAAAAATTATTTATTATAAATAATTTTTGTTTATATGTAATTAATATGTTTAAAATAATTTTTTACCTTATTTCTTGTTATTTTCTATAAAAAACAAATGTTGCCGTGCAAACAGAAATGAGGTGACCAGCGTTTTCGTTTTTTAAGTATCTAATGATATTGTTTTTATAAATTACATTATACACATGTATAAAACAAATATATTGAAACGGTTGAGTATTGAACGACATGACCTGTTGAAGTGTTGAATGACACGCTGGATTTTTTTTACAAATATGTCTACACGGTGTAATTTTTTATATCTTATAAGTTTTAGCAGTGACGACTAGGTATTTTATGTATCTATGTACACTGAGAATTGGACAGGAAACGATGAAGTTAAATGGAAGCTGATATTTAATATAAATATGTTAGCAAGCCAAAAAGTAAATGCATTTCAAATAAGAATTAATCACAAATATTAAAGATTAATATTTCATTGAAAATATTGAGGAATAGATTACAAAGTGTTTGTTAATTTTTTTATTATACTTAAAAGCAGAAATGAACGAAGCGCATTCAGAACCCACATTTAATACACATTTTAATTTAGCATTGATTTATGTTGAGACAAAAAAAATAAAAACAATAAAATGTAAAACGACAAACATTTTAAATAAAAATGGCTTTATAAAAACAAAGAGCTAGACGAATTTAAATCTAAAAAAATCTTTCTACATACTAAAACTGGGAGAGTACGTCAAAAACGGGACATCAAAAAATAAAGTAAAATAAAAAAAATGCTTGAAATAATCTCTTCTAGTTTATGTTATTGAATTTACATATTTAAATAAAATTGTAACTTAAACATAAAAGCATGTTGTAATTACGCAAGATATTCTTTTACATAAGAAATAGAGACTGCATTTTTCAAATATTTAGTATAAAAGATAAAAATACAAGAAAAATAAAACCATAACAAGACATAACAACAGAACACTTTTGGTTAAACAGATAAAAAAAAACAAAAATAAATTAATAGAATTAAAAATATTACAAAAAAAAAATTTTTCTTTTCACACCAACCGAAATCTTATTTAATTTGGGTGGTGGCGGTATAATATATCGCTGGGTATTCTGAACACGCTGTTGTTTAATTGATTGTATAAGAGCTCCACATTTTGGTTTTGCAGCTGTAATGGTAGTAGTAGCGTTACTTGTACTTGCTGTACAATTGTCATTGCTATTGTTATTTATATTGCTATTGTTATTACAACTTTGTGAGGAATTACTATTTATGTTATTGCTATTATTTTCATTATCTTTATAATTTTTATTATTATTATTATTATTGTTATAATTATTATTATTTGCATTATTATTATTTATGGGAACATCAATAGCTGTTGAAGATGTGACCAAAGTTGTAGTAATGTGTATTGGCGGTGGCGGAGGTGGAGGAAGTGGAATTGCTTTCTTTGTTTGGCGTAATGCGGTAGTAGTAGTCGATGTAGTTGAATTTGAATCTATATCAGCTGTGGCAGTAACAGAGATGCTAGTAGTATTTGTATTATTGTTATTATTTATAGTAGTAGAATTGTTATTTCGAGAAATATTAATTGATTGCATATTTATAACAGGACCAATAGGCCTATTATACGTAGCACCATTATTATTAGCTGTAGAATCTGAAGAATTAAACGAAGGCCAACTATAACTAATCTATTTATAGAAAACACAAAATATGATCTTATAATTTTTGAATTAACTTTTACAAAAATTTTTTTTTTAAATAAGATTTAAAATTTTGCATTTAAATTAAAATACCAATTAAAATACCAAAAATTTGTCAATAACTTTAGTAAAAATAAAATTAAAATTTCTACGTAATAAACTAAGGGTGGAATTGGGCTTAAAATGAAAAGAAAAAAAAATTACCTCGTTGTCTAAAACACTTGCTACTACTTCAACTAGCAATGTTGCTAAACTAATTTCATTCCCATTTATATTGCCAATAAATTTTTGCTCTTTTGATTCACTGCATAAAGATTTTAAAATTGTTGGTTGAGCATACTGCACTAATTTTTTAATAAGCCCAAGGCTAGCACGACGTACACTACTTAGCATCGTCCCTTGAAAGGTTTTACAAAATACTGGAAGAAAAAATTTTAAGTAAATTGGTGCCATTTCTGGATCTCCACGTGGCTCATTTGATGTATCATCTACTTCGCCTGATTTTAAATCATTACGTCCAGCAGACATCCATTCACCAGGTGATTGCAAAATTGCGGCGACTTCTCTGTGACCTTCGTCAATTCGTTCTCTAGCTTTATCTAATGGCGTTTTGCCGTCTTCATCTCGTAAATCAGGATATGCACCATGTTTAAGTAAAACTTTAGCAATTCCTGGCCGGCCAAAACAAGCAGCATAATGTAATGAAGAACTTCTTTGTCCTTTATTAACATCAGCACCTTTTTCACACAAATATTCAACCATTTCTAATGTACCAAAAGCTGATGCCCAATTTAATAAAGTTTGACCAACATCATCCATGCAATTGACATCAATTCCACCACTTTCAATTGCCTCAGTCAAGGCTTCAGTGTCCTTACTACGAATGCAATCAATTAATTGTCTATGGGTTCTTTCTGCACTTGAATCATTTCGACGAACTCTTGGGGTTAACTGACCCTGTGAATTTATCATTACTCTACTCAGTGCTTGTCTTCCCTCAAAGAGGAACAATATAAGTAAATCAGCTAAACGCATACAATCTAATATACAACGTTCATCACCTGTTAAATAGATATATATGATTTAATTATGTACTTATATTATAATTAAAGTAGTAGTTGCATAATTTTTTCAAATTTACCTTTAAAGGCTCTTTCCATTGATTCTGGCAAATTTGAGCGCAATAAATCGTGAGTTATGGTTTGAGATCCCCGACATAGTGTTGATAACAATGATATTGTAGTTGAAATTGATTGGGAGGAACGGCTAGCATCTGTAGCTTGAGTTTTACTTGTATTTAAGCTGTCATTATGACTTGATGAAGTTGAACTAGATGTTTGCTGTTGATTTCCAGCTGCATTACTTAATCTTTTTAATAATTCATTTACTAATCCATATTCAGCTAATGGAGCTGGATCAACACCTTTTCTAGTAAAACGATCAGCAACCGATGCAAAGCATTTTAAAGCTCCATCAGCTACCATTGGATCTTCATGTTGTAATAATGTGCTTAAACTTTCAACACAATTTTGTATACAAGGGCTGTTTGGTTCAACTTTTGTGCATAAACGTGAAACAACAGCCATAGCTGAATGCAAAGTATCTTTATGTACTTGTGAACCACAATCTCTAATAAATGTTAATACACAATTTAAACCACCACCTTCAAAAACAGCTCCAGCTTCACGTGTACATATTAATTCTAATACTTTAATACATTGTTCAGCTAAATCACGACTTGTACGACTAGATAAATCAGCAACAACTAAACGATTACATATTGCTTTTATAGCTCCATCAATAGCTAATATACGTCTTGTACATTCAGCTGATACATCTAAATAATATGTAATGGCACGTGCTGTTACTTCTAAAACATTTTCTGGTGCCAACTCATCTAAAAATATTTTGCATAATGCTGGTAAAAATGTTCTGGGTGGACAGCTAAAATTTATGAAAAACGTAATTATAAATGATATTCACAGAATATTCACAGAAATATAAAATAATTACCTTTCAAAGCATCTATCTACATTATCAGACATCAATAGCAACATACAAAGTTGCTCTAATGCTATTAATTGCATATCACGTTCATCTCCTTGGCCCATTGAAAGCCATTCAAGGAGGGTTTCTGGATCAACGTCCCCCATCTGAAACAAAAAAATACAAAATTATTAAAAATATTAAAAATGTGTTTTAAAAACAAATTTATTCTTATAGAAATAATATTTTTTTTCTTTTACAAAAATGTTTACTTTATGTTGATTTAAAATATTAAAAACAGACCTTATTATATTAGAATATTAGAAAATTTAATAATTTAAAACAATATATCAATAATATCGATTGATTTATTCATCTACATTACTATTTGGAAAAGCTATAATAAAGACAGATCTTGTACGTTATAGCCCTTATTTACACAACATTTCCTTGAATGTATACTGGCTGAATGAATATGTGGCAATTATGATATGAGAGCTGAAACTGATCTCTTTGATAGAACTAAAGCTAATTAAAATATAATCAGAGAATGCGTAAGTATAATGTAACTTTACTTTTACATTATAAAATTTCTGAAGTATATCTCATGTCTCAAATAAAATTAACGGTATCTACAGTTAAATTTTGTTAAATCAAAACGTCACATTGTCATACATCATTAAATTAAATTAATTTCTCTTTGAAGCTTTATTCATAATAACGTGAATAATTTTTAATAATTATATACAAATGTATATCAGGCAAGTTAAACTTATCATCATCACTATTTAGGCTATTTTAGGTTTTCCGCACAATGCTTCAGCCCGCACAACAAAAAAAACTCAAACTACTAAATTATACACAAATTTTGATTTTTCGTATCAATATAAAAAGTAATATTGCTCACACAAATATGTGATTCCGAACAGGGCTAAAACACGCTTAGCCAATAGTAAAACATTGGGAAACAGATTTATAGGTAAATAATTATAAAATTTAGGAATTTTGTTTTTTATGATTATTATGTGTGACAAGCCCCCGCAAAACCGTCACTCTGGTTTCAATACTTTCTTATTGATAAATGAATATTTGTAACAAAACGCAGGATCCAGAAATGCGGGCCGCGTGTTTGACATACCTGATGTACATATATGAATATTAAAAAAAAAAATAATTATTTGATCAATATTAAATTTTTGCTTTAAAATAAATTTTGCATTAAAAGTGAAGAGCTCAATAACCTTATAAATATTTAAACTAAAAAATATTAAATTAAATTTTAATTTTAAATTATGGCAAAAAATAATAATAATAAGTAAAACAACATAAAAATTTTTTAAAAATTAATATAAAAAACAACGGAAAAGCTATTTTGGATAAAATATCGGAAATTTCTTAAATTGATTAAAAATTTTAAAATATACGTTCTATTTGTTTTTCTTTTTAATATCTATAGATTTATACGAGTATATAACTAAAAAAGGTATTTCGCATAAGGTGACAAATAATTTCATCGATGATTCTTTGATTGGTTGTTCATTATTTTTTGTATAAATAAATGCTTGTAACTTCGGAACCATACAATATAGAGTTTTCATTATGAGCTTGTTTTACAGGCGATTGATTCTTCTTTATTTTTTATTGTTGTAAAACCAAAAATAAAGAAGAATCAATCGCCTGTGAAACAAGCTCATAATGATAACTCTATATTGTATGGTTCCGAAGTTATAAGCATTTATTTATATGCAGAAAAAGTCCGGTAGTTTTTTCTCAACAGGCTGTAGCTCGAAAACAATTACATTTGCACGCCCCCCTGAAATCCTTGAAACTATTTGCCACCTTATGCGAAATACCCTGTATACATTAGACTTTTACAATATACATATTGAATTTTCCGATCATTTCTAAATCTTAAAAAAATTAATAATATTTATATTAGAAAATTTTATACAAGAAATTTGTTACAAATAAGGAGTTCTTCAAAGGTTGTGATTTTATTTTTTTCACAAAATTAAATATACTCTAATATTATTCTACATAATATATAGTTTATCGGATAATGAGATTTAGATACCAAATTTGAACAATAGGTGTCACAAACAAAATGAATTTACTATGAGAGGTGAATTTATTGTCGCTTGATAATTTCAACTTTTTTCCTGCTTTTTTCAACCAAGGTTTTTGAATAAACATGGAAATAACATAAAGGAAAAGAGAAAAATTGAAGATATAAGATCACATAATACGGTTTTTATAATAGTATATTGCAATATATGGTGAAAACTGTGCTATATTTGTATTCATAATGTTGCAAATCAAGTTTATTCATAAACATTGGTAAATGATAAGCCATAAATTATAACATGTACCTATGTATGTTGTTTTGGTTTTATAGAATTGTCAGAAATATTTCGCTTTTCTCACCTTATGTTTTTGCAGTATTGCGTTTATAAAAATATCTATATTTTATGTACACGTATAATGTATTATGCGTACGTATATTATGTTTTTGTATATCTTTTCATACAATCTTAGTGCATTTACACGCACATTACAAGTTCAAAAAAAAATTCGTTTTGAAATACCAATTTTGTATTGTAACTTATTTTATAGCAAATTGTGAATTGGTGTATTTGAAACTTTTTAATAGAAAACAAAAAAGAAGAAAAGAAAATCAAAGCAAAACAAAATACCAATAAAAATATTACAATATACATAAGTATGTATCTATGTATGTACCTACATATGTGAGTACATTTATACATACGTGATAATGTAAGTAATTGAAAAAAAAAAGAGATTTTTTCCACATTTTTTTATGGATTCACTTCCTATTTACCACCACCATCAATATGTAAAATCCAATGAAAAACATAAGTGAATTTAAAAAAAAAAGAAAACCTCTTTGAAGGAGAAAATTCAATATAAAATTGTTGTCAGTGCTATTTCAATGCCTTGCCTTAATAATAATGATAACAATAATAAACAATGTTACCTTAAATTACACGAAAAACATTATAGATGAAATTTTCCGGAGCCAACGAATTCACTAGCTTGGATGTCAAATGAATTTTATCACCAATTCTTTCTATGCAAGGTATAAATTACAACAATAATTTAAATTTTCCGTATATTTTTGACAAGTTCGTATACTTGTCATATCATATTTTTATTCCCAAAATTTTTTGTCAAATACACTATATTTTATACCAAAATATCATATTCAAATTTTTGGTTCAAACTTGTAAGAAAAATTATTTATAGAGTTTGTGGATAATTAACATTCGAAAAATATAAGATTAATTAGTTTTTTCTTTCAAAAATAAGGTTAGATTATCAAAACATCTTTTCAAATTAATAAATGTCTTTTTTCTAAGTTTCGTTGCTAAAACAAATGCGCAATCATTGGCAAAAATTAATCTGCACAAAAATATATTATATATTTAATAAAAATATGTAAGTATGTTTGCAATAAATGTATGGAAAACTGAAATGCAGTTTTCTTTTAATAAAAAAAAAAAATGAATAAAAAAGATAAAAGAAATCAATGGGAAAATGGAATATTGAGGTTTTTATTTTAAACATTTTTCCTTTTATGTTGATTTCACCGATTTTTCCATTTAAAGTAAATATTGCTATATATATCAATATTTTAATAGTTATATGTTGCATTTTCTTTACAACAAAGGTATATAAGAGCAGTGTGGAAAAACCTGATCTTAAAAGAAATTATAAAATATATTTTTATAAAATTATAAAATTTGCAAAATGTTTTACGCTATTGAAATAAAACGAAAATCTATAAATATTGTACATAATATTGGTAACTACTGCCATTAAATCATTAAAAAAAATTTGGATTAAAAAAATGACACAGAAACTGAATAAGTTCGAATAAAAAATTTCAAATATCCTAGATGGTTATCTTCAGCTTATGTGTAGGTACATATATATGTATGTACTCATATGGTAAAGTAACTTCTTAAAGGAATATGTAAGCATTTAATTAATATATCTTCATTCGGTTAATTGTCATTTAGTATGATTTAATTAGAGTATGATCTGTACTGAATTTTCATTTTTTAATTATTGTTCCTTTAAAATTATAAGTGAGTTATTTTTTTGTGATATAGTATAAAAATTTAGTATTATTTGGCAATAATATTAAACTATGTACCTAAAAAAACTTTTGACCAAATAAATATAAATCTATAACCTTGATGATTTTAAAAAATCTATAAACAAACATACTAATTATGTTTTTTTGTTTTTATATAAATATAACGTAAATAATTAATTTTCTTTTAACTCGAACAAATTTGTTTTTATTTTTTGTTTATAAGCATAAGTATATATCTATGGATATTATATTGATATATGTAAGTGTTATATTAAAAGTACGACACAGATTTCAGCGTGTTAAATTTAATTAATTATTTTTATCTTATTTTATTGCAGGTATATTTAATAATGGTAAAGAAATTAATTGATATGCAGTTATTTTAAAAAAAATATTTTGGTGGTCAATAATGGTTTCACAATGCAATGTAACAATAGTATATGCATAGATACAAAATTATAATATGTATATGTATGTTTGTACATATATAATTTTATGTACATAGCACATGTTTTTCATTTGTATAGCCTTCTTTATAAAATGACCTTAAAACTTAACTAGAAGGCATTCTCTTCTTTTTCTATTTATAATAAAAATCAAAAAATAGAAAAAATAAAAATATGTTTTTAAAAATAATTTTTCTATTGTACTTTTATAAAGTTAAATTATCACTCATTTACATTTTCGCTCGAACTAATTATTTATAATTCAAAATTTATACCATGTGCAAAATAATTTCTGTACAGGTTATACATATTGTTCATTATACATAATGTATGTATATATAACAAAATACGGAAAAAGAGGAATGAAGAAAAAATTAGAAATAAATTTAAGAATAAAATTAAAAGAGATAAAACATAAAAAGTATAAGTAATATGAGTTTAACCCTGAAATCTTGCTGAAAATAAATTTAATTACTTTAAAAATAATTTTAATATAAATTTAAAAGTATTTTTTATTTGCACTTGTATTTATTTAATTTGTATTAAAAAGTTTTAAAAATTTTGTGGTTTGCAGGCTTTTTTTTTTTGTATTGTAAAATTT